AATAAAAATATGTGTTTCAATTGAACTAAACTGTTCAATTTACAATTGTATTAAAGTTATTGTCACGACCAAACACACTATAATCCATAAGGCTAGATTGGTCGTGAAAAAACCCGCGATGGTCGTGAAACTTTGGTCGTGAAATTACGTGTAATTTGGCTCTGTTCTGGCGGTAGCCCTGCACCTCATGTTCGAGGATACAAAGTGGACTTCTAGGTTAATCTAGCAATTGAAATATCTTATAAACAAAAATTAACACCATGTCTACTTCATCGAATGACTACGTACGGTCATGGACACACCAAAATTACAAAAAACACAATCTTTCCTTTATTAATCTTGTAATTTCTCCTTTCAACTCGAAACGACCGGCACTACAATCCTGACGTACACCCCGAACTAGTCTCTAAAACCAACTGACTCCATCGACGCCAGGCTTGCCACTGTCGTGCTCCAAAGTTGAAAATTTTTCCCAAATGGTCGTGACGCCAAATCGAGGGACAGACTTATTTTGTCATGATAGTCAGTTTGTAATGACAATAAAATTATAATATGCTCCTTTTTTATATGTTTAATAACCATTGATGACATAAAAATATGGCTTTATATATTTCGGCATGAATAATTAGTCTAAAAACAGCGCGAAAGTTGGAAAATGTACCCTAGGGACACGTCATGGTCGTGAATTTCGAGACTTTAAAAATACGAAAAAAATACCTAGAACCTATTTAGAACCAAATAAATGTGTGAAACATGTTGCCCCCGTCCCAAAAAATATCAAAACACATAATAATATACTACAAATCCAGTATCTACGAAGTAAAAGGCCAGGGACATGAAAACGTACGTTTTTAAATTTTCACTCTAAAACATTTCTTGTTATTTTAATCCAAGTTGCTCTCGGGCACTCTGAAGCATCTCTTCTGTACATGTCTTCCGATTAGTCTTTTAGCGAATTTCCCATATAGGGAATAAGCTAGCCTATTACCGTAGTACTATGGTAAGACCTGGACCCGGGACCGATTTACTTTTTCGTTTTGAGGTACCTAGAGGCCAAAAACACCACCCGTTCAAATCCATATATAAATATATATGCAAGAAAATAATATATATATATATCCGTTAGCGCGATAAGTCTAGCAAAAATGATCCGATTTTGATGAAATTTGGTATAAACGTGTAAACCTACATTTATTTGAACGAGTTTGCGAACCAGCATGATTGGGCTATGGGAACAGGGGTTTAATGGGGTAAAAATAGGTTTTTCCAATTTTTGACCCTAAAAACCCAAAATTTCACAATTTCTTTCCAAACCATTTTGTAGAGCTTAAAAAAACAAATAATTTAGTATATTGAAGCGTTATTATGTGCCTAATAGTTATGGAGAAAATTCAAAAAAATGTTAGTTGAAAATTCCCATGTTATTCTTATGGAGAATAAGTCAATTTTGAAAATACATTGTTCATTTCTTACTAAACTATTAACATTTTACAACAAAAAACACTTTTTTACCCTCCCTGTTACAGCAAACCTAAGTAGGCCTACTTGTTGAAATCATTCTATTTAAATAAGGAATAAACAATGTTATATTTTTAAGGAGGCATTTTAGTGTAAATCCAATCAGGCAAATGGAAATTCGCTTAGTCTGCAGGTTTGCTTTGGCGGGGGTATTTTTATATCTCCTGAAAGTGAAAGTAGACTATAATCAAGCAAATCAGTCCAAAATAGCATGGTAGCATACTCAGTGCCAGATCTTACATGTCTCACACTACTTACACTTAACAAAACTTCTCATAATTTGCGATGTCGAAACAAAAAATTATAAAAAAATCAAAGCAATATTTAGATGTCAAGAATTCATTAAATGAGAACGCCTTCGCAAAGGAAATGCAAAAACGCGCTCCTGTATTGCGGGTATTGCATTGACTTTCTGCAGGCGTTTTTTACATTTTTTTATAATCTTGTCTCAAAAAAATCTTGATCAAAATAAAATCTTGTCTGGGAAAACGAGATTTAAAATTTCCCGAAAATGCAATGTCAAAACAAAACATTAAATCATTAAAGCAGTATTTACATGCAAAGAATCAATTAAATTAGAAAGCCTTCACAAAGGAAACGCAAAAACGCGCTCCTGTATTGCGGGTATTGCATAGACTTTCTGCGGGCGTTTTTAAAAGTTTTTTATAATCTTGTTCAAAAAAAATCTTGATCAAAATAAAATCTTGTCTTGTAAAACGAGATTTAAAATTTCCTGAATATGCAATGTCAAAACAAAACATTAAATAACCATTAAAGCAGTATTTACATGCAAAGAATTAATTAAATAAGAACGCCTCCGCAAAGGAAACGCAAAAACGCGCTCATGTATTGCGGGTATTGCATTGACTTTCTGCCGGGGTTTTTTAATGTTTTTTTATAATCTTGTCTCGAACAAATCTTAATCAAAATAAAATCTTGTCTTCTAAAATGAGATTTAAAATTTCCTGAAAATGCAATGTCAAAACAAAACATTTTATTGTAACTACCAACTCAAATTTAATTCAAAATTTCATTTCTGTAACTTTACCAGTTCTGAAACCCTGAAACATATTTCAATTCATATTGTACAAGCTCCCTGAACTTGGTAATTCTACCCATTATTCCTGTTTTCAATACTCAATCTCTGTAGCAGTTATTCCTAATCATCATTTCCTGTTTACAATATTTTCTAATGATCAGACAGTCTGGGCTTGTTCCCAAAAGTAAGTGCATACTACGCATCCGTTTTCCGGTGACAGAGATAGAGAATATGCCAAAAAACTTCAGGAAGTCTCTACACGTGTGCAAATCACGTGGACTCACAAAAACCAATCAGCTGAAAGAAGACCCTGGTTGTATGAAGTTTCACCACCCGATTGGCGGAGACGTTTCGGCATCTGTGGAGACCCTCTAGATTATCTGCAGAAGAAATCGACAGTCTCCTAGAAATCGGCTTAGTGGGAGTTTAGTCTCCAAAATAGTTTTAATTTTTTGATGAAGTTTTGCGCGTGTGTGTTGTGTATGTGTACAAGTTTAGCTCCAATGGCCTGTTGTCACTTTAGTGGCAGAAGCTAGGTTGTGCAGACATCAAGTAAAATATGTATGTATCAATTTAAATCCATTTGTAACCATAATTTATTGTAATTCTAAATCTGCTTGCTCACTCACAAAATAATTAAAAGAAAATATTTTAAACATTTGATTCTCTCTCCCGAGAGAGAAATTCTTTGAGAGTAAACTTAGTTTTCTTTTATTATTTTTCTTTTAAATTTAATTTCATATTTACTACATATACTTTTATAATTCTAATTTATACTTTCACTTATTATTTTATTTTTCCATGCACTCCATCTCCCTAATCACCAGGCTTTCAATCTTTTGATCTTGGCTTAAGTTCTTTCTTTTAAAATACCCCTTCTCTGCTGGTCGTTTGCGATTTTTATTCCATTGTATTTAAATTTTTTTTTGTTCAATCTGTACTCATCGTTCTGTAATTTGTTATTTTACTCTTAATTTCTTCAGTATGATAATTGTTTGTGGGCATCACTCACCTTATTGAAATCACGAGAATGTAGTCCTTGTCATATCACAATAATACACAGTTCATTGCACATAAAAATATACAAAAATAAAAATAAAACTCATGAGTCACTCGTCTAACTCATGAGTCGTGGTTAGGCGCTCACAACGATTGCGTGAGAAGAGAAATAACCTTGAAAACGCCGCACGTTGATTTTGGTGCGGCGAAACGTCGGTGTTGAGAACTTTGGTCTGAAATTTTAAATTTAGTTTTATTTTTATTTTTGTATATTTTTATGTGCAATTGTATTATTGTGATATGACAAGGACTACATTCTCGTGATTTCAATAAGGTGAGTGATGCCCAACAAACAATTATCATACTGAAGTATTAACCTCACCTAATATACCATGTAGTTTAGGAATCTTAATTTCTTTACAGTATTACATTCCTCTTGTAACAGAATGCCAGTGTTTTACTGTTCCAGTACCTCAAAATAATGTCAAGCAAGTTCAGTCAAATCAAATTAAATGCATAAATTAACTTGCAACCTTACAATATAACCATTAAAGCAATATTTACATGCAAAGAATTAATTAAATAAGAATGCCTTCACAAAGGAAACGCAAAAACGGGCTTCTGTATTGCGGGTATTGCATTGACTTTCTGCAGGCGTTTTTCGTTTATGGATACTGATTCCCACATGAATCAAATAGTTTTTTGACCACCACTAAATCAAATCACGATTGGATGCATCGAATCGAATCGGAGTTTCGATGCATCACACACCCCTATTTGTTTCTAACTCAATCTTTTAAAATCACAAATATAACATAACCTGAGGAGACTATGTTTATAATAACAATCAACAAATGTTTGGAGATTTAACCATCATTGAATCACTTATTTAATAGCTTGGTACTGTTACTCCATTCTTCACTTACGACCAACATATATGTATGCGATTGATGGAAGGTTCAATATTATATAAAAACTAAAACAAAAAAATATATATTATAGCACTAAAGTTTAACGCACTAATATAAAGTTGCACTAAAGTAAACTTTACGCACAAGCTTAGTACTGGTATTTTAACTTTTTGGACAGCCGATTAAACTATTATTTCCTACGAGATAACCTTGTGATAAATTTAGCAACACTAAAAGTAAGGCAGGTTATAAAATTTTCTTCAAATTCCAATGATTAAAATGTTAAGATTTAGGCTCAGTAGGTATAGCTGTTTCTGGAAACTCGTTTGACAAAGGTAAACATGTAAAACCTGTAATCTTTCAAATTTTAAAGTACAGTTGGAATAAACATTTCAGTTTATTGCGTTTAAAATCAAATCTATCTTTCTATAACTAAAACAGTTTAATACACATATAAAAAAGTACTTGATATGAAATCCCAAAACATCATCCAGTAAACCCCTTCTAATAGTCAGGATTCATATTTCAATTATTAAATAACTTCACAAATTTACATCAAAAACAAACTAAACATACAATATCTTAACTGCACGAACATAAAAATATATAATATAGTATAAATAAGGCCCGATGAGAACCGCCGCTGGTTGAGTGTAATTCCTAAAACAAAAGGCTAGACACTAGCTTAAATGACACAGTTTTAGTATAGTTAAATAAACGTTGAGCAGAGTGCAACACCTTTTAGGGGCCTACAGAATGATAGTTTTTCACAGACAAATTTATAACTCGGGCACTATGAGTGGCCTAGAGACCGTTCGAGCATATCACTAGTGGGCACAATGAGTGGTCTAATGTATCTGACGGACAGACGTGGCGCGTAACCACCAATACTTGACTGAGGAATGGTTCTGGGCACAATATGAGTGGCCTAAGATGCTAAGATACATGAAAGGACATTAGGGAGACTTCATAACAAACCGCAAAGGGTTAAAATAAGAGAAAATTGTATTTAGGCCGGTTTTTATTGTAATTAGTGTAATAGGAGGGTCAAATATTGTAAAGAGGAAGTGTTTGGCAATGTTGTGTGAGTAGGCTGGTAGTGTTGTTAAACAATAACTTGTTGTGCTGACCTACTGAAGGCTGTTGCTTTAAGTAGGCCAGTGCACTTGATCAAGGGGTCAGTTTTGTGTGGAGTGGTTTGTGTGGTGCACCGGAGGACAGGGTCCTGCTGGGGGAGCTGGAGCCCAAGGCCCTTGGCCTTGGGTCCAGGTAAGACAATGTAAAGGGTTTTCAAAATTGGGGTTTAGAGTCTTTTCCAAATTGGGGTTTAAGTTCCTAACTCATTTATACAGTTCCAGTCTACTCTACCTTTTATGATTGTTAGTTTAGCTTTACGTTTTTTGTGTTGTTTTGAGTAATTAATAAAGTTGGGTTTTGTAAGCGAGTGCTGAGTTTCATTCCTGAGCTACGTCACCCAAAGTAGTGGTTAGTATTCCAAGGGGAATACAACCGTTACATTAGTATGTGATGGTTCTTATAATTCTTAACATCATAGTGCAAACCCCCATTGCTGTAAACATTACGGTTCAAAAGTCTGTAGCTTATTTTTCCATAAAATAACTCAAAAATGGAGTTTTGAAAAAAAAACTTTGATTTAAATTTGTCTGTTATGGTCTTTCTTTATAATTCTAAACAAAATAGTGCAACCCCCCTTTAATTCCTGTAAAAATTACGGTTCAAAAGTTATTAGTTAATACAACTTTTGTGATTTTACCTGTTAAATATCATAGTTACTTTCATCACCTACCCATGATAAAAGTTGTTGACAAGCTAATGGGAGAAAGTATGAGTCAGATTGCTGATACCATTTATTTGATACTATGGCTGTTGTGACTTTAAAAGTTGCCATAACTTACAATAAGTTGACCTTTCAGTTTGTCTTGGTCAAACAGTTGACGAATTCAACAGAAATCAGTAAGTTACATCAGCACTCTGTCGGCTCAACTAAACAACAAACTCTAAAACTGACTACAACTTAACACATAAAATGGAATGCCTTCTATCTATATTACAATACATGTATTAGTAATACATGGTGATTCAAACCTGGTTGTCCCCAATGAACAAGATCAATTTCTGAGACCACGAGTCTCTTGAGGTTCTGAAGGGTTTCCGTCGCAAGTTGGTTGAAGCCAAACCTAGAGAGTGCCAGGACGGTCAATGCCAGCAACTGTGGATTGGAGGAAGTTGAGGCTGACTTGAGACAAAACTCAGCATTGTTCCTGACGGCTGGCGCAAGTCTTACTGCAGAACCAGCCAAATTGGCCAGCACCAGGGCCGAGAGAATTGTAGTGGAGTCATCAGGTCCTTCGTCCTAGAAATAAATCATTTTTGTAAAATACAAAGTGTATTTGTTCCAAAACCACAAAATATGGTTTTTAAGAGATAATTAACTGCACACATTTTCCATCATGAATGATAAAAAAGTTCTCATGACGTTATGGACTGATCCCGCAATCAGCAGAGAAAGTTTTGGTTAGGTTTCCATCTTGTGCAAACATGAAAATTGGCTTCTCCTAGCTTTTATTGATTGTTACTATTATATGGGTTTATTGAGGGCTTTTGTTTTAACCCCTTAACTGCCACGCACGAGATATGCCGGGCGATACTAGTTTTCAGAGCAACCGCCACGTACGAGTTATCTCGTGTTGACGTAATCAGCTGTTGTGTTTTATTTTTAACAGCTCACTTCCCGCCTTATCTCTGATATACGTACGTAAAAAAGTTGTTGACAGTGCTGCTTGATTAGTGCTGCAATCTGGTGGATTTTAGTGGTATTATAGGTCAGTAATGGTCCCGATCAGTTCCGTTCGTAGTTTCAGTAAAACTCGTGCTTGCAGAAGCTTACGTAACGCTTACGTACATTATGCGTGTCATTAAAATTGTGATTTTTGGTGGTTATTTACTTGGTAGTGTTGAATGAGTAGTAAATATTAGTCGTAATGGCTGGTGACATGCTTGAGGATGACGATTTATTAGAGTTGTAGACTTTATTGTAGGCCTAATTTTTATTATAGGCCTAACTCAAGAAACCCCCGAACCCCACCCCCCCCAATCTCAAATTTTAGTATTGTTAAAGCTTAATGTTTTTGAAGATGTCTACAAACAATATTGATAACTATTTTATTTAAAAAAACAACTGGTACAATTTTTTGAATCACAAGTAAAAATCATCAAAAAACGGCAAAAATAAGTGGCAATGGCGGATTTTGACTAGGCTACTTAGACGGCGGTTAAGGGGTTAATTAGGTTTGACTACCACACAGATCTTTGTGTGGGTTTATAAACCGTGATTTTCCATTTTGCCAGGATCGGCAGGGTTTGTATACTGATCTTGTTATATTTAAGTACTTTCTCACCTGAGGACAGAATTAGCTTCTAAATCCCAAATCGTTGTGAAAACTTTGTGTTTTACTAATCGTGATGGGAAATGTCCTCAATACTGTCTCCACAATAAATAACATAAAAACCCCCATCACCAAAACAAAGAGCTACGAAATAGGTCTTCAGGACACAATCAGGTCACAAACAAAACCTGCACTTTGTGTGCAGCTTTCTAAGTGCTGATATTTTGGTCTCAATTTTGATACAATACAATTTTGACTAAACAGCTTAATATTAGTGACAACAAATAATTATGATCAGATAATTGTAATAAGATCAATTTTATAGCATAAAAAATACACAACCAAAAGTGAAAAACTGAAATTAAAGTAGCCTATGTCACAATCACAGCAAAATTATTTAGAGTACCTATAAAACAATTAATTTACCTAATGTTTTTTAACATGAAAATTAATGCTAGGAATCCTGCTTGTGTAGGTGCCTATCTACCAGTGGTTAAGAGTATTGAATTTTATATTGTTTCACATGTAACTTATATTTTAATTGTCAGCTTAATGTGTGATATCTTAAGGGTTAAAGTAAGTCAACGAGTAAATTACTTTGTTGATAACTTTTAATAAATTTTTTAGTACAAAACATTCAAAACATAATTCAGAACTTCCCTAGAACACTATTCTTTTGTCACAAACAACCACCAGGACCACATCCTTTCGGTTCCATTCTTCTTCTCCTTTTGCCGCCATTTTGGTTTCCTTCAGTATTTCCTTCTCCTCCAATTGTACTATCACTTCTGACTCTTTTCACTCTCCTAGCAACCGAAGATTTGCTCTTTCTCTTCTCAACATTTGAGATTCTACGTTTCTTTTTGAGTTGATGCTTACTTTTGTTCAACATTCTGTGTTTTGAGTGTGCTTTTCGCACAAGTTGACTTTTTGAACGGGTTGGAAGTTTTTTTGTCGCTCGTTTCAAATTTGTGTTGCATTTACTTTTAACTCGGTGAGGTTGGTGTTTGCTCGCAGATTTCCAGAAACATTGACAGTTAAAGTGAGAACTTTGGTCGCTCTTTGAGTCTGAATCTGAGTCAGTATCACTCATTGCTAGCAGAATATCAGAGATTTTAGTGAAAAAGAACTTTTAATTTAGTTTGGTGAAGCTATGGTAACATCAGAAAAACAAAATTGTACCCAATGTTGATAGTCTTATAATCATTTCACTGTCGATACTTTGTATAATCAGAGAGAGAGAGAGAGCTGGTCTAGTTCCAGAACGTGGGGCTTCAGAGCCCGAGATCCTGGGTTCAAATCCTGCTAATCACCAATGGATTTTATCTATGTGATTATGTCGCGATCCTATAGAATTAGCCTCAAGTTATTTGTAAGAAGAGTTCCTGGCTAGAACCTAGTGTCCTAGGATGTGAAGGCGACAGAAAAAAAACTATGTACAATCAGGTAGTTTTCAAAAAGCAAGCTCATGGTTATCCGATGACGTTACACGCTACTTCTGTCCGGTCAGGTCATTCCCCACTCTTAGGCCCTTATTAGACGAGGCAGCCAAGTTGCGCAGCCAGCCAGGCAGCCAGTCACTGGGCATTGGTTCTTATGGAGCTTATTACACGAGGGCAGCCAGTTGCGCAGCCACTGTTTGGCTGCCGGCTGGTTGCCGAGCCCGGCGACCGCACAGGCAACCACTGGCTGCTCGGTCTGGTCGCGCTCCTGTGTAGCTTACGGATCTTATTACACTGGGCAGCCAGTCGCCCGCTGCCACACATCAGTATAGTAGATCATCACTCGTGGAAGTGCGTTCATCTCTGCCGGTCACATCATTGTGTGTTGTTTTCCTCAGTATTCTTGTAATATAATTGTGTAATTGGTGTAATATAATCATTTTTCTGTTCTTTATGAAAGAATAGGATGTATATGCATTCTCCTCTTCCTTCATCTTCTCTTTTTCATGAGTAGCAGAAGAAGCAAATATTCATCTCGCATTCTGACAGCGTCTCTCCCCAACAGAACTGTTCCACCAACACTGTTCCACTGTCAACAAGAGACTGGCCTAGTTGGTAATTTTGTGGCTGCCCTGTGGCTGCTCTACTGGTAGCTACGCTAGGCAGCCAGACAGGCGACTGGCTGCCCGGCTGGTTGCACAACTTGGCTGCCTCGTCTAATAAGAGCCTTAGTCTCAGTCTACAGCCATGATCCAAAATAAACCTTGCATTTGCACTCTGAGTAGTTTACTTCAAGATATTAGTGTTCTCCGATCACCTTTCCTCCATCAAATTTCTTACACATACTACAAAGCAAAATACTCTAACCATGTGTAGTATAGAGGTGAGAATGCAAAGAACTCCAATAGCTATCAATCAACCATGTTCTCGGTACACACCCGTTGTTTAGTTATTGATATTGTAAAGGAAAGCCAAGTGGCTGATAGGAGTTTTTTAGTACAGCTAAAGATCTGAGAAAATTAGAGTCCAGGAGTGCAGGTGCTGATAAGCACACAATAAAAGGTAAAAATAACACTGATATTTCTTATTAAGATAGGCCTTCTCCAGGGAGTAGATTGCAGAAATAATCTCCAAAGGAGTATTGTTTGAACTAAATAACAGTGTAAAAATTTAATTTTAAGTTTCATGGATTTTCAACTGTGTCTTTTTTTTCTCAGGTAAGCTAGAAAACTATTTATCTTACAAATAATTATGGATAATGGTTCATTCTCCACTCGATCACTAGACCCAATAGTACAAATTGTTCAACTAATTTTCAACGTGTGATTGTTTACCTGAATCTCAGCATGGAAGAGTTGTCCAACTGGTAGGAAGCAGCCGTTCTCTAATTGTTGCTGGGTAATCCACGATACAGCGTCTTGTAATACGCCCTGATCAACCTACAAAAAAATAATGTTAGATTATACAAATAATTTGAGTATTCGTATTTGAGTATCATTACTAGACCTCAATAATATGATTGAAAGGTGAGTGCTGAATGAAGTGAGACCTGTAGCTTTGTTTCTGGCTATATCGTTCGTTTCTTTAGTCAGGACCATTTCTTAAAAACCCATTGATTGAAAACAGCTAGAACTGGTTTTGACTATAGACAAAAAGAATGAAATATAGACCGTCAGCTGTGCTGCGCTTACCATAGGTTCTGGCGCACACTGCTGGGAGCGCCACGGTAGTTAAAGCGTACGCGCCACGTAAACTACAGCGGTGTGCGCCGGAACCTATGGTAACCATGGTAACTGCAGCACGGCTGACAGTCTATATTTCATTCTCTTTGTCTATGTTTTGACCCATCAGGCTACTGACTTTTCTCAGGATTGATCGAGACAAACTTTTGACTGTCAGACAAATATACACTCAGCTACAAAGTATATTTACAATTACAGAGAGATAATTCCATTACTTTTAGAAATTATGAGTAGCCATATTGTAATGATAATCTGGAAAAAGGTAAATCCTAAAACCCACTAACAAATATTTGATATTAATTAGGGATGAACAGGTCTTGAAATTTTGAGAAATTTTCAGGAAATTTTATTAAATCTTGTTCTAGGAGACAAGATTATATTTTTATCGAGATTGTTTTTTGTTTGAGACAAGATTATATAAAAAAACCGTCAAAAACTCCTGCAAAAAAGTCAATACAATTCCCGCAATACAGGTGCGCGTTGTTGCGTTTTCTTTGAGAAGGCGTTCTTATTTAATTAACTCTTTACATGTAAATATAACTTTAATTGTTTTATAATTTTTGGTGTTGACATCGCAAATGATGAGAGGTTTTGTTAAGTGTAGGCCTAAGCAGTGTGAGACATGTTTTACTACCGGTACTGTATACATAGCCAAAACAAGTCACCCCAAAATCATTCTAAAAAAAAACACAAGACTGAAAAAATTTTAATAATTACTGATGTATTTGTTTTGTCAATTATTATTATTTTTATACCAGTCAATAGTCATCTTATCTTATCTTACTAATATTATAAATGTGAAAGTTTATGTGTTTGTTTGAAAGTTCAATCACGCATTAACTACTGGAGTGGACGGATTGGGCTGAAATTTGGCATGATAATAGCTCACATTCCCGACTAACATATAGGCATATTCTTATCACAAAAATCCTTTCGGGCTCCACCCCAATGGCTCTGTAGTTACCCATGTTAACCTGATGAGTATTCATATTTAAAGGAAATTAAAGAATATAGTCAGCTGTTTCAACTAAAAAAAGTTGGTTCTATGATATGCAAAAGAATTAACAAGTTATAAGGTTTACTAACAGGGTACAACACCCTGCATGTTTTTTTTTGCATTTATGAAAACAGCTGATTTGAACCAAGCAGCAACAAAAATCTGTGATACGCAATGAGAACAAACTGTCAAAATAGAATTGTTTACAGTTATGTTTATGTTTTTGATTTCATGAATAATTTGTGATATTTTGCGAATTTTTTGATAATTTATTTTTCTCTCTTAGGTGAAGTGGTAGAACATTATAGCTATGGTAGATATGTAATACTATAGAATACTGTAAATTTAAAGAAGCAAATTTTATCAAACTGTGTCCTCCCTCATTGCAAACGCAAAGCTGGAGTATAACTGCAATAAGCATTTTATACTTATATGCCAACCCTGTACGAAGGACGGGTAATCTGCTAGTCTGTCATAAATCAGTAGGTGTTTTAAAATGTTACAAAAGCAGGTTAAAATGTCGAGCATGCATTTTTCGTTCGGTTATGTATGAGAAAAGAAATCCAACTTGATCTTGTCAAAAATTTTATGTGAAATAAAAAATAAGGTCTCATCTCAAACTAAAAATCTTGTCTATCCCTAGTAAAATTAATTAATTATTGATTAATTGGTTTAAAAATTTAACATTGGGCTCAAGGACCCCGTCTTTCCCATTTTGGGGAAAGTCAGAAAGTTTTGACACTAAAATTGAGTCTCGATAATCCGACACTTGATACTCCCGACACACTTGATAATTCAATGCTGTGATGAATGAGTCATAGGCTGATGCTATATAATACTGGGATTTGATTTATGTTGTGACAGGAGTCATATGTCTTTGCAGTCGCACATTATATAAACAGGGTGACAATTAAGTCTTAGGGCGACTGTATAACTTTAAAACAAAAAGATCTCACGACAAAATTTGGCATATCATTACTGGTAATAGTAAGCTACTTTTTTGGGTACATGGTAATCGGATGACACCTCTGGGGGATGGTCCGTGGGAAGTAAGTTTAAAATCTGAAAGGTAAGCATAGGTTGATATGTACATCAAATTAAAGGTCTTGTTGAAACAATGCCGCAAATCGGATCTCAAATACACAATATAGTAAAAAATGACATCTGTTTAAAGATTCATTAAATATGCAATTGCTATTATAGGCTACCTTTTTAGGGGGGCCGGGGGGCACCTGCTAGAAGACGGAAGAAAATCATAAACATGAGCATAGGTCGATGTACACATCAAATTAAAGATCTTTAACAGTAGAATACAATCCCGCACATTTGAGCTCAAAAGAGTAATTGAGTAAAAAATGGCAGCCGTTTATAGATTTAAAATGGCAGTTTCAAGAAATCTTTAAAGGGATGCCATTGTTTTTGTTTGTTTGTTGTTGCATTGTTTTTAGTTTAACAAGACCTTTGATTTGATGAACATATCAACCTATTCTTACCTTTAAGATTTTAAACTTACTCCCTAAGGGCTGTCCCCCATAGGTGACATCTGATCACCATGTATACAAAAATTAGCTTACTACACCAGTAACCACTAACCAGTAGTGTATGATATGCCAAATTTGGTTGTGATATCTATTTTTGTTTTAAAGTTGTAAAGTCGTCCTAAGACTTGTCCCCCTATATATGTTTTACCGAGTTGCCACAAAGTTGCCAACCTCAACAACATCCTGAGCCTCTGACAATGTCTTGACTACGGCCGCAGTCAGCCACAGAGAGCCTGTCTCGTCTTTGTCTCCGAAGGCTGAGAAGGATCCATCAGTACGACGGAAGATCAGCTGCCGTTGGTAACCTGAGGAAAATAATTCTTTGTTCTATATTTTGTTGAGGTTCTGTCGAGTACATAGCAATTATTAGCAATACAGTAGATTTACATAAATCTGGTTCCTCAAAGTTCACACTGATTAATTAGGTGATGTAATGTAGAATTTGTCTATTTACTGATCAAGGATAACGTGCAATCTTTCATTAAGACTGTATTTTCATTTTTTCAAATTATTCATTGCATTTCCACTTTTTTAAGTTAAGTGAAATGAAATTAAATTAAATGAAAAATTCTTTATTTTACCAGGCAAAGTTAGGGCCACATGGCCCTCTCTTAAACTTTTCAATGCCCTCCCTGAAAATGTACGCAACTTGCCTATTAAGTCACTTAAAAATGTATTGACCGATTTTTTGAACAGAAAGGTTATCTACTCTATCGAGGAATTTTTATCTTTCAAACATGATGATTTTCTGTAAAATTCTAATTGTTAAGTAGGGTATTGTTTCTAAAGTATGTAATAATGGTTTCATGAACTGTGATATAATAGTCTTTCATAATAATGTTATTTCTGTGAACTTTATTTAAAAATTTATTGTTATTTAGTTTTAAGCTGTATCTTACTGCCAATTTTAGCCTTAATTATTTGGTTATAGGCACTTACCCAACTTGTTTGCTTAACTATAAACAGTATTATTATCATCATTATCAATACATCTCAAATACTTTTGTACAAAAACCCAGTATTATTAGTTTATTAGTATAGCATGTTCATCTATTTACACTTGACTCTGTACATTGTACTTTGAATTGTATATTATCTCCATTGACCTGGCCTATTGTATGACATGTATACTTAATGGCAATAAACTATTTGAATTTTGAATTTTGAACCTGACAAACTTAAATATAAATAAATAAAAATACAATAAAATTTCTTAATCTAATATAAATATACATATTTAACACATCAAGCAAAAATTCAATTTATTTAACTAATTTACTAATTAAAAAAAAAATAGTAATTTAAGTGGTGTTTTCAGTGAAGAGCGACTGCAGAGATTAATTCATAGGGTCAGCCCAGCCATTGTCTTGGTCTAACCTTACAGTCACGAGTCAGCATATCACAACTCAACCTGATGCAGGGTATAGACATTCCTTCTACTTTCAAAAAAATTTTTCTCCCTTAATTTATGACATTATGATAGGTTAATACTTAATGTGACATAAAAACTGTGAAAAAAACTTTCTCTACAGTTTGGGTGAGTGATAATTTATTAGTAGACAGAAATCTGTAATAGATATTAGCACACTCAGAGGCTCAATTCAACAACGTTTGTATTAACTACCTAAAACTGACAAGTTTACCATGGGAATGGAATGCACACTTCTATCATTGGTCACAGGTAACACACAGCAAGCATTTTCATTTTCTAATGAACAACATTTCCTTCATTTCCTACTGACTGAGATAGTGTGACAATAGCGGTGACTTAAAAAAAATCAACTAGCTTAACAATTTTTACTAAAAAGACAAATTTAAGTCACCTTTTTTTACGTTCTTAACAGCTGAAGCTACAAGAGCCTCATTGTTACTACCAATAGCTTTCATGTATTTCAGAGCATACAAGTTTGGAGCCAATCTTGCCAAATTCTGCTCTCCGCACCCCATTGGCAGACGTAATAGACCATCCAAGTTCTGAAACAACAGGTGCGATGTTGAAATATTCATTACTTTATTTCTTAAACTTTTAAAGCTAAATTGAAATATTTTTGACAATATTTTAATTCCAAATATTGCCATTCCAAAGGTATCCTTGTACAATCAGATTCAGTTACACCAGATTAGTAGGTATAATTGGATTAATACTATTCAAACACTGTTGAAATTCTACTTTCATTATTTTTTAGTCTTATACCAATTAATTGTTTGATGAAAATTTCAGTCAACATCATAGTTTAGTACAATCTTAAATAAATAAATAAACTACCCACAAGTTCAGCAATAAAACCTTACAATTGGAATAAACTAAAAAAAGAAGTACCTCCAGTGCTGGTCCTAAGAGATCTGCAACAACGCTGAACTGAAATGTGGCAGAACCAGGTACTAGGTTGTCTTCTGGAGGAAGAGTAAAATTCCAGGATACCAAAGATTCTTTGTTCTCTGTAAAAAATATTTTTTAAATTAAATTCTATCTTTTGCAGATTCTAGAGTAGATGTCGCATATTTTGCTTAGATGGAGAGTGTGAATATGGAATATGTGAGTGTGGGCTCAAAATATTTAGCTTGGTCAATGCTGCAAGGGAAAACTGTGCTATGAAATTGTATCTTTAAAAAATATTGAGCCACAAAGAAAAACAATAGTTACTAAAGATAGAAAAACTAGCTAAAGAAGGATTAATTTCACTGTCATTTAATGCATATTGAAACAACGTTGAAACCTTAAGTTAAAAAAATTGATTATTCAATTTAAAACCCATCAACAGATATTTAAGTGGTCAGCCATTTTTTTTACTGGAAACAGAATTTTTCTTATAAAATTCCTTGTATCATCTTACCTGAAGGACAGATGAAAGCTGAGTAGGTCTTCTGTTCTTGATATCCTTCATGCTTGATTGTTAGCTGTTTAACCACTGTGTCACTAAAATATTTTGAGATGTTATTCTATGGTAAACAAAACAAAACGGTAAAATCATAATTTGTCTAAGTACTACTACTACAAACACACAAAGCATGAACTCCAGAGTAAAAGATCCACTAACAATTACTAAAACAGCTCCCACTTACTCAGATTTCCGATGGTTCAAATAAAAAAACTCCTGAGGCTTCAGACTTTTTAAATTCAGAAATCATGTCACTAAAGTGTACGAAGGAAAGGATTTTACTGTGATCCTGATCCGTCAGTTTTAGTCCAACAACCATGAGATAAAAGTCATCTTTTTTATTTTTATTTTGTGTGTTTTTACACCAGTGGCATTTTTTACGTTTTAAAAGGGAACGGTCCAAACATTGGTCTTGTTACTACCTAACGTCAACCTCTTTGTTAGATAGCACCATTAATTCATAGCCCAATGACAAATGGAATCTGGGTCTGGAAACGATCTTGCATGGATTCTAACCAGCGACCTTCAGATTTGAAGGCGAGCATTATAACCACTCGGCTACCCAGACAATTTACTAAACGATAAAGTAATACATTTTTACCAATCCAAAATATTTTAATTCATCCATACTTTATCGAGCTATATATTTTATTTAATAATGAAACCAAGAAACAGGTTGATTCGCTTTAGAGCTAAGTTGTTTACCTTTTAGCAGGAAGGTCAGGAGAGTCACAGCCCTGGAAATTCTGAACTTGAGCCTCAACTAGCATGTTAACATTTCCAGCCACTCTGGGAATGACAGAGATAAGAGTGGAGAGTGGAGAAACTGGGGATAGACATAGTGTGACTGGGGTGTCACAATCAGGCTTAACCACTAGGTGGTCATTCTTCAAAACGGTCAACAACACCTAAAACACAGCATCAGCTGATAAATTTGACATAATAGATGTTGTATTTGAGATATGACCTGGGAAAATCACTAACTAATGTTTCAAATGCATTGCAGAAATCCATCTTTAGGGTTAAGCTAATATTCTTAGTCAGTAGAGTTGTAGCTTGCTTCAAAAATGGATTGCTGCAATGCATCAGCATCCGATATGTCAGTCAGTATTTTTTTTAGTTCAACAACGCTGTCACTAGTAATCCCCAGACTTCTATATTCAAGACTGAAAACAGACAAAGGTACGTAACCTATCATATTCGTACAATCAGTCTTGGTGGCAAAAATGTTCTGTTTTTCAGGGTACCAGTAAACCAACAGAAGATTTAATCGATAAAAGTCAAATCTGCTGAACTGTTGATTTGTTGCTTGGCTCAAAGACGGACTGCTGCAATGAATCCAGAGATGCTGTTGTCTCCCTATCACTGTGATTAGACAGTCTACTAGGATCTTGGAAGCCTATGTTCAACTTTAAAAGGTTACAATATCTTAAAATTCATGTTTCTGGCCCATAATTTCATTTTACTGGATTTACTATTCTTTCGCTCTTTTAGCGACATCTTAGTATAAAACTCACTGGCAAGGAATGCTGCATGTAGTTATAAACTACGATTTTGATCATGACTTTCTCATTCATCCTGATCGAGTAAGGAGCTTCGATGTGAACGAAGAACGGGAGGAAGACAGAGACAGAGGTAGGTAGGGACATCCCTAGACCATGTATCTCTGATACACAGGATACTGTCGTGTCCCAGGAGGTGATAGAATCAGGGACAGAACTGTTCACTACCACTTCCCCGTCAATCCTAGAACACTGACAATCCTCCATTTATTGAACATTCAAGGGTAAAAAATTACACTCTCTAAAAACGGTTTTTAAGGCTATGTAATTAATATAGGTGACACTGTTCATGTATTTTGCACAGTTTTTTTTTTATATTTATAATCTGTTAAATTTGTAATATTTTAAAGGTTGTATAGTGCTTAACTGTCCAATATTATTTGAAAATTGAAAAGCACAATATAACAAATTATCTTATAAAAAGATAGGGCATTTGCCAGGAATTATTAAGGAAATTGACAGGAAAGCAGGCTTACCTTTAAATAAGTCCATAGAGACACATAAAACATCACAAAATTAAAAGTAGAAATTTTCGTGGTCACTGACCACTTTTTCAACCACTGGAGATTGGAGAAATGGCAATGGCAGTTGCAATTTGAATCTATTACACCTTGTAATAGGACAAGGTGTAATAGATTCAAATTGCAACTGCCATTGCCATTTCTCCAATCTCCAGTGGTTGAAAAAGTGGTCAGTGACCACGAAAATTTCTACTTTTAATTTTGTGATGTTTTATGTGTCTCTATGGACTTATTTAAAGGTAAGCCTGCTTTCCTGTCAATTTCCTAAATATAACAAATTAGATTATTTTTAATTTCTGAAAACTGGTAGGAAAAGTCACCATCCTAAATTTAAATTTCACTCCCTAACATCCCTATTGATGAAGCGAGTCAACTATTAAGATAATGCGTGTAGTCTAATTTTGTATGATTCCTTTGACTGCTTAACAAAGCTAGAGCTCAATCAAAACATATAAGCTGTATTTTTTCCATATAAACAAATTATGAAGTAGCCTATTCACAATCTTATTTAGATAGCTAAATAATTCAACAGTTAAATCATGGAAGCCTGAGTTAAAATTGTGATAATTACCAACACTAACTCATCTATTAAGCAGAAATCTAAGTATTCAATAGACAAAAAGGTTTAAGAAAGTAAGTTTCAGAGATAACTCACCCTGTGTAAGCAAGACTCCAGATCCAAGTGTCCGGGAAGTGATCTCTAATCAGAGGCTGTTCTGAGTCTTCTCTCAGACCAGAAACTGACTCAGGCTGGGTCACCAGTATCATGTTGTTGGCTGGAGACAAAGGAAATATACTGTTAAAGAGAGAACATTCCAAAACTTTGGGACATACAAATTCAAAAGAAAGAATTTACTAATAAACACCTCTGTCTTCAAAAATAACGTTGCCAATGACACAGAAAAAATATACACTTAAAATATTGAATGATTATAACAGCTATAAGACTGATACAATTAAAGTCCCAAGTAATTAAGGTAGATACTAAAACTGAAAACAAAATGGTTTTAAAATAACTAATTCAATGATGACATTTTTATAAAAAAATTTTAAATTTAGAATTAGGCCTAACTGTGTATATCCGTTAAAAACTTTTCAGTGAATCAACTTACCAACGATGGGTCGAGGAATCAGATTATACATCCAGTTACTTCTGAAGTATTCATCAGCTGGAAACCAAAAAACAGGTTACCTACCTACTACAAAAGTGCCAAACCGAATACCAAGAAAAATTACAAATTACAAAACTTTTGGTTTTTCATCGGGCTAATTGATTATCTTAATCCAAAATTAACTATGTAAAATCTGTTAAAACGTAGGCCTACATAGAACAGATTTCATACAAAGTAAAAGTAAATGTAACAATTCCACATTTTCCTCAACACTATATAGAGTTAAGTTGCTTCCTTAATAATTTTTTTTCAACAGAAGATTTCCTCACATTATAGAGTACCTATACACTATGATTATTTTTAAATCAATTTTACACACTCAAATAAAAATACCTCCGCAGCAAACCTGCAGACTAAGCGAATTTCCATTTTCCTGATTGGATTTACACTAAAAAGTCTCCTTAAAAATATATCACCTTTATTTCCTATATATAAATAGAATTAGTTTAACGAGTAATTAGGTTTACTGCAACAGGGAGGGTAAAAAGTGTTTTTTTTTGTAAAATGTTAATAGTTTTGTAAGAAATAAATGCATTTTCCAAATTTGATCATAAACAAGCAAAATACAACAGTTTACTTATTCCCCATAAGAATAACATGGGAATTTTAAATTTAATTTTTTTTGGAATTTTCTCTGTAACCATTAGATGCAACACTCAACATTGGAAAAACCAATTTTTACTCCATAAACCCCCGTTCCCATCGTCCGATCATGCTGGTTCACGAACTCGTTCAAATAAATGTAGTATGTGTAAATAAACTTCGCTAACACAATGAATTACACACATATGTGTTTGTATATTCATTTTGAGTTGGGAAAGGATTACAAAAGGAACTTACATCCAACAGATTACCCACACAGTTAATAGTGACAGGGGGAAACAGGGTGACTACGGTTTGGCTAGATTAAGTTTTGAGATTAGGGTTTGTGTTTGCACAATTCACAATCAACATTGAACGGCTTATTCCCTATATGGGAAATTCGCTAAAAGTAAACTTACGAAATACAGTCTTTGTACACGGACGGGTTTCAAGCACCAAATTGCTCACGACTGCAACGCCAAGATCCTGACAACAGATTAAGATAAAAATTAGACAAAATTTGAAACGGAAAAAAATAATTCCCAAAACAAATTAATACTAAGTCCAGTGACTTTAAGGCCTGGCTTGCGGTTTGCTTTTTTGACTTCTCCTTCTCCACAAATCAATATTTTTGTAACAATATTGTCCTTAGTAATCTTGTTCTATAGTCAAACGGCAAAAGCATAAAAAAAATTAACAGGATTTCAATACTATTTATTACAACACCGTCACACCAGGTTGTGTAGATTATGGAAAAAAAGTAAGGTGAATTGTTTGAGTTGAACGAATGAGATTAAGATAGTCTTATTCATAACTATGATCAGATGGTGCTTGGACAACGATAATTTAATATTAGCCCCAAGATCTAGGAAAACCAGCAATAAACTGTCAAAAAGTGAAAACCATCATGAGCTACAACTTTTTTATTAGTCATATTTATTTATAGTTTTATCATGTTTACTAGTTACACATACGTCAAAGGCTGTGATAGCATCCACATGTTCTCCAAAATCGCGGGGAGGCGCAAACATGGAGCGCTTTTTTCGCAAATCATAGGTTGGAGGAAGTTCTTCCTCTTTTGGCACTTCTGAAAGATTTAAGTAAACATATAGAGGAGTTATGCAACATTTTTATTCTACAGCAGAAAATTAGGTGATGTTTCCTTATTTGACACTAAAATAATATAGTGAATTATTTACATACCACAAGACAGACTATAATTGACAAGTGATAAAAGATGTTTTGTTGACTGTGTAGGCTACATTTTTCATAGTAAAAATATTTGTTAACAGCACAAGTTTGAGTTATCTCTAATTTAACTTCTCAAACTCAAGCTCAAACAGAAAAAATATATATATACACACACATGATCCGTATAAAAATATCTTGTATTTGGTTAAAAGACTATTTTAATTCAATTTGTTTTACCTAGGGGCATTTTGTTGTTGGCTATTTGTTTCTTAACATTTCCATGGATTTTTATTTATACTTACTATTAATACAGTACTTCTTGTTATCTCTTGCTGTCTTTGGCAAACTAAACCTCTTCAGCTCCTGCCATACATCGGTTGTCTCGGTGTTGTTACTCAACTGTCTATCAGTCACAGTAACGGCGCACACAGAGTAAGGGCTGGCGCGGATGTGAAGTTGCGCCAACTGTCTGGGCCTCAACTGGGGCTCGTTCCATCTCACTCTAACCTAAACAGTGTATGGATTATCAGCTGTCTCGGTGTTGTTACTCAACTGTCTATCTGTCACTGTAACGGCGCACACAGAGTAAGGGCTGGCGCGGATGTGCAGTTTTAACCTAAACAGTTTGAGGATTATCAGCTGTTTGATGTGTTAGTCACTGTCATAGCGAGGGGACACAATGTAGATGGGTTGTTTACTTCAGTATCCAAAAGTCCAAACTATTCCTCCATAGCAGCTCAACATTTTTGTTTCGTTCACGTCTACCATGGTTCTAAATCTAATCTATTTCATGATATTTGGTTTAAAGTCCTTACTCCTTACCTTGTTCTGGAAGCACCGATCTATGACCAGGTTGGTACTGCCAGCCACAACCTCACCATTCCCTCTGACGTAGTACACAGTGAGTCTGCTGGTCGGCGCCATAGCCCAGGACACATTGAGAGGCAGACGCCAGGCTCGTACCAGACTGGCGTGTGGCGCAATCACATCGTTCTGGTGCACAACCGTCTCCTTCACCGGCACAATCGAGTCCACCATCACTAGGTCTCCTCGACTCTCAAGCTGATACAGACTCATGTTAGAACCAGCCTATGTACGAGACATTTTACGACAATTTTTCACATTGATCTAGTTAAAAGTTATTGTTAATTTTTAATTAGATCCAAAATTAATTCGATACACATTTGATCTGAGTTAATAACACTACATTAAGTAAAGAACACTTCTGAAAAAAGTGTTGACAATTTAAACTAAATAATATTCAATGATTTGGAAGATGGAATGGAAAAGAATGGAGTGGCATATGATAAAACTAGAGAGTGAGGTCAAAAAATATCTGGGGACAAGTGGACAGAAGAATCATGGCACAATCCAACAGGGTTTAGAAACATCTCCACTATTCCAGTGCTTTTCTTCTCCCAACGAAAATTTGAAAATTTTACTTAGGGATTTTCTTTGAAATGTCTTTTAAACCTAAAAAAACATTAATATAATGAAAGAGAGGTTTTAAATCATCTTTGTTTATGCACTGTTTTAGACTGTTCTTCAATCTTTGAGTAAAAAAGCGTTTTAAACCATAAATTAAACCCAGTCAATAGACAATAGACAAATTCTTTATTGAAATATTCCTAGAGAACATTCATGCGTCACGAATCACTGTGGAAAGACAATTGGTATTTCCACTTAAACCCCATCAACTCACCAGATAGAAGAACTGCGGTGTTGTCTGGTTATATGAGGTTACAGAGTAGTATACCGATATGGAGTGTGTAGTTCCACAAGCGAGGGTTGTGCGAGTCCACACATCTAGGTATGAGCTGCTAGGAGAGAACCATGGCTTAACATTCAATGTGACAGATGGCTGCAATACCATCACTTCTGCAGAGCCAGGGTAGAGCTTGGTGGGGTAGTCCATTGCTGTCGCCTGAGGAAGCATAGAAAAATAAATAAAATTAAATCATGTTTTGATTTTTTCTTTCAAATTGGTTATGATTTTAAGATTCTTGTATTGGGTAACAGCTGATTTTTTAAAATAAAGATGTTGGCAGCCTTTTTAACCTTGTATTTTCCAAACACTCTACAATGGCCTCAAAACTTCTGTGGGTAAAACATATCAAGCAATGTAAGGACTAAGGAGTTAGCTGGTATGGAACAAGAACGATCTGTACTGATACATTTTAAGTGGATGCACCGAGACTTGAACCTAAGACATTCGCTATCAACAGCCTACCGGTACTAAATGAGCCACTGACTCAATTTATTGCTATTTATTTTTAAAGCCTTTAAGGACTAGAAATAAAGATATTGGATTTTGATGTAACCATGTACAAGTTTGACTAAAAATGCAAAAACTTAATTTTACGTTGTTACTATGAATAATTTGTTTTAATAATTATACTATGAAAATGGGACCCTACAAATTTTTGTATCAATTACGATTGATGAAGATTTATTGCAAGAAGAAGAAGATTTAGTATTGTTCAGTGAAATCGACAATTGTTTTGATGGGAAAACTCATGAGTAATTTTCCCAATTCGGCATCTGGAATCTTCTTTGAGAATACAGCAACATGTTACCCGCAGAAATCAGCCACTGACCAGAGTGCTGGTGTTACACATCAATGAGGAGTTGGAGGACAGTTTGCCTTTGGCAATCGTTCTCCTACTCACAACCAACTAGATAAGATCTTGTCTAAAATCAAAAACTTAATCCAGGACCTGTCTTTGTAGGTTTGTGAGATAGTTATTAGTTATTTGCTGTTTTACATGAAATTGAATTCATAATGCTTGAATGATCAATTAGTTATATGACATTTTACTTCTCGAAACAGTAAAGAAAACCACTAATATTTTGAATTCATTTATCATTTATCATTTATTGACGGACAAACCATTACATACAGAATCAATTTTTGTGATACAACTATACAATTGAAAATCTTTTGTAGAAACTAAGCCATGAGTTGGTATAATACGGGCATTCTAAGACACTTGTCATTCAAATCATTATTTTTCTCGTAAATAATTTTAGTTGAAGTAAATTTAGCTGGAACCAAGGACCCTACGCCTTTACAGCCACACTGTTGTTGGTCAAAATCTGTCATACATCCCCTTGTCGAACTCTTTTGTTTTTCTAGTAAACCTAACTGATAGTTAAAACCTGTGACTCTATCAAATTTATACAGTTTTTGAGTAAATCTGCCGTGTTGTGAGCAAACCCCATCCCCAGATGCTCACCACTACTGTTAGTCTAAATTGATTGCCTCGTCGACTTTGTCTAGTTTTCGGGTAAATATGAGGTCCCTGGTCACAGAGGGACCTCATACCCTATCACCAGCAAAGAATAAAAGTATTATGGGAATCAAGCATACCGGTACCCATTTGTCAAAAATGATACTTCCTCAGAAGTGGCAGTGATGAAATGTTAATGAGTGTTCAAGCTCTAAGAGCAACAACACCATACTACAAACTTTATTAGATTATTTGCACTTTTTAACAAAAATTAAGAGCTTTTGTGATTAATGGAAAATTTATGAAAACCTACATGCTGAACTTTTTGGGCACTTGCTTGGGAAATGTATTATTGCTTACCACAAGGGAGATAATTTGGACATTGTAGGGTTCGTCAATATCAGGCAAAGCAAACACAACTTGAGAGCTGAAGTCTGTGGTGTAGTTCCAGCAGTGGAGCAGTCTCATAACCTGGTTGTGGTATCTCACCTTGACACAAACTTGTATGTTCTCACCTACAGCATGTCTAGCACTGCTGTCCATACTCTTCATCATCACCTGTAACATACTCAGTGTATTAGGCAAACACAACTTAAGAGCTAAAGTCTATGGTGTAGTTGTGAAATGTAACCATATAGGTCGATATGAACCAACATTAACTAATAAATTGTAGAAAAAAGAGGATAGCAGCTAGCTTACCTTGAAAGTGTGGGTAGGCCATAGAACAAGTAGAAAAACACTGTGCACACAATATTTCGTCCCCTAAGGGACTTTGTCAAGTGTAGAGAAAGAGTTACAAAATGGCTGCTGTCATGGCTGTTGTCAACTATGCAGGGTTGCCACATCTCATTGGTCTATTTACAACTATGTACACGACTTTATATACACACACACATATAACATTAGTCCCTTAGGGGACAAAATATTGAGTGCACGGTGTTTTTCTACTTGTTCTATGGCCTACCCACACTTTCAAGGTAAGCTAGCTGCTATCCTCCTTTTTCTACAATTTAAAATCCTGGCCTAGAGCCTTTCCTTAAACAAAACCAACATTAACTAATAGTTTGTTAATAATAGGTTACAAAGTAGAAAACCCTAAATCAAACGGACAACCGAGCCAAAAATGGCAGGCGTTCAAAGATATAAAGAATTTTAGAATTTTGCCAATATTGATTGCAAACTCTTACTTACATTCCCCTTGTAGGGTAGGCCAGGCTTGAAGTACTGAGAACACTGGAAGAGCAATCTGAATGGTTGATCGTACACAGGGCTCTGTGTAGTCGCTGAGTGTGAGACTGCAGTACCTATCTCTGTGACAATCGCAGTGAGCTGCACAGCTGTGGGACGCACTAGCAGGTCTGCCAACCCGAGCTCACCACCAGTCATTGTCACCAGGACACAACCAGTGTAGCTGTTGAGCTGGAAATAAGTCTCAAACATGGAAATATGGACTTGAGGAGTTTCTTTTGGATAAGGGTAGAGTTTCCTAGCTTAGCTGATGAAGTACAGAGGCTTACACAAACACACAAAAGGCATATTACATAAGCACTGATACGTCATAAAAGTATGGGATTCCTTCAGACACTATAGATGATGAGAGAAAAATTTACTGACATTCATTTCTCATCAATCTACTCACTGAAGAATTCAGTCCTATACTAGAAAAAGTATCAATCAGTTGTTATGTGATTAATTTTTTATCTTATTATGTACTGTATAAGTTTCCCTGAACTTGATTTTTTTTATGTAAGCCTTAGCTAGAGGCAACCTCTTTAAAAATCCTGTATCAGCCATATAATTTTATATTTAAATAAACACAATGTGCTCTAAAGAGTTTTTGGACAAATATTAATTATAGTGGAATACTAATTTTGGTGTTAAAAGTACAGGGTGTTTATAAAAAAACTTTACAACTTTAAACAATCATAAAACCTTTATTTTTTCACTTACAGCTATGAAACAAAAATTAAAATTTAGGAAATTTTCTCAAGTTTTATTTACATGATAAGAAGTTTACCTAACTTCAATGTGCTTCCCGTTGTTTGCTCGCAAAAAATCAAGTCGACATTCCAGTTCTGACCAAACACGACGCAAAATTGAATGATCTATTTCATCAAACGCTCTCCTGATCCTTTCTCTTAGTTCTTCTTTGTTGTCCACTTTACTAGCGTAGACACGATTCTTAATAAAACCCCAAACAAAAAAGTCACATGGAGTTATATCTGGTGACCTAGGAGGCCAATGGCCCACCACGGCCAATCCAACGATTTGGGAATTTTTGATCCAAACAATCCCGAACAAACCTCTTCCAGTGCGGGGGAGCACCGTCCTGTTGAAAAATTACATTTGGCTGTAATTCTTCTAGTTGGGGAAAAGCAAAATTCTCCAACATATCAATCCGCCGCACATCTTCATCGCTTACACGGGGTCGACCGTTTCCTCTCTTGTGATTCAAACTGCCAGTGTTCATAAACTTATAGTACCAAGCCCTAATTGTGGGTCTTGAAGGAGGATTCCTATTATATCTTGTCCGAAATCTCCGTTGAACAACAATATCAGATTTCGTTTCAATGAACCACTCCACACACTGCGCTTTGATTCGTGCTTCCATTGCGATACTAATGAGACTTTTCAATTATTTGTTTTTTTTTACCAAACAACAATGTAAGGCCATCAGCTGATTGAACTGCCAGCTGATTAAAACTTTTTGAGCAGCCCTTTCATGTGGTGTCAATAGGAAACGTTTATGTCCCATGGATCATGAATGGGAGAATGTTAAAGTTGTAAAGTTTTTTTATAAACACCCTGTAGTATGATAATTTGGATTATTAATGAATATCAAATGCATTAATTAACATTAATTAAACAGTTATTAACTAAACAGTATATTATTTTAAAACACTTTTTCAATTAATTAATTAATTTATAACACTGCTTAGAAACCCTTGACTGTGATAGTTATCTTATGCAAAGTACTTATCTTAAGGAATTTTGTTAGGCTTAGTCGCTTAACCCCATTAATAATGGTTGCTTTATGTAACAAATTTATTAAACTGCAATGAAACCCAAAATGTGAAACTACCCTTTTTATAAACCATTTTACCTTGACAGCATGGTTTATATTAGGCTGATCAGCGGCTCTTGATCCCAGGAGTTTGATTTCAACACGAACATTTCCTTTAAGTACTTCTCCATAACTGTACCTATTAAAATCATCAAATAATCAGTCTTTTAACAATGATCATGTTTATAGCTAGAACTAATTTACACATTGATAAATTTGCTGTGCAATCCCTACTAAACTCAATAATACCGTCAACTTCCACCCAAGACACTGTTTATTTACGGATGGCCTCTCCCGCCAGCTGTTCACACATCATTGAGCTTAGTATGGATTGCACATGTACGGGATTCAAACCAGTACATATAGAAAGATATCAACACTACACTCCTCAGTGTAACACCTATGCCAATGATTCTTACCTGCAAGCGCTTATAGCAATAGCGACAGTTCAGCTGATGGTGGCATGATAGTTGCCATGCCACCATCAGCCGAACTGCCGCTATTGCTATAAGCGCTTGCAGGTAAGAATCAACAAACTAAAACTAACACCCCAAGCTATACTCGGGCTTAGGCTTTAAAGTGTTAAAATTTAGGAAATTTACAAAACATATAAATACCAAAATCATATTTATAATATATTTAATTTAACTTACTTGGCACATATATCCCATGAAACAACAGGCGAGTCTGGAAGAATTTCTTTAGGAGGTTTTATGTCAACTTGAAATATTGCAGGAGTATACTCTTTGACTACAAATGTTTTTTCTACTGTGAAGGACAAACTGTGATGAACCTTGATTTTCCATTTTCCCTGATAAAAGAATAAACACATTAACTGTTGTTATTTTTATTTATAACTGTGAATAACAATTTTTAACTTTCATATCTCAAAGAAACTATGAAACTGTTAAAGTGAGTGCTTTACATAATAATACATAGGCTACCCTCATTAAATCTACATTCCTGTCACTAGTATTGACAAAAAAACTTGTTTTGAAATAATTTGTTTATTTTTGTATGGGGAGGAACACAAGATAAAAATGCCTGATTAAATAAATAAATAATCCATACTAAATACATGGAGTTCAAAGGGTCAAAGAAAATACGGATTCCGTCAACCAACATTGTTTTAAACAATCGTCTAGCCAAAAATAAATGTTGTGCGGCTTGGGTTAAAGTTGACGGTGAGTTTTTTATAAGTTGTAACTAAAGTCAAGCATTTTACAGTTTTTAGTATTATGAATAAATAGAAAGATTAGAAATTATTACAATGACAACACACATTCTATGTGTGCACTGAAAACTTGTATAATGTCATTTGGAAAACTATTTTTGGGCTTGTAACAAAACTGAAAAACGTGATAAATCTCAGCACAACTAAAGAACAGAAAACCCATAAAATTCAAAGGGTAAAGCAATTAGTCCAAAGTAATACACTAAACAACAAAAACACACTACATACAGGGCCGTCCGAAGTGGGGGGCAACCGGGGCAAGTTGCCCCGGGCGCCGTGGCTGAGGGGGCGCCGCGCAGCGGCTATTTGTATTATTAACATAGTATTAAAATATGCGAATGCGACTATTACTGGGGGGGAGGGGGCGCCACGACCACTTTTGCTCCGGGCGCCGCCAACCCTAGAGACGGCCCTGACTACATAAACAAACTAACAAAAACTAACCAAAAACGGCTCCTTGTCCAAAGTGAATTGAAGTTGTACAAGTCCATGTTGAATAACCTCAACTTGACTCCACTGCTCAACTCTGACCCCAGAAGGAGACTCTATCCATATTTTACTGATCTGGAACATCAAAATGAGATACTCTCATGGAGGACATATAGAACAACATTTAAACGTTGTATTCCAAAGTGCTGAGAGCAGGATTCAAATTATTTTATCAATGGATAGAGCTCAGCTAGCTTACCTGAGAAAACTAGAGTTTAAGGGACTAAGAGTAAAAGAGACACAAAAAGTTACGAAATATAAATGATATTTCCCGAGTAGAGTGTTAAGACAAAACAAAAAATTATAAAACAAAAAAACAATATTTACAAACAAAAAATTAATTAAATAAGAACACCTTCGCAAGGGAATCCCAAACAACAGCGGGCTCCTGTATTGCGGGTATTGCATTGACTTTCTGCAGGCGTTTTTCATATATGAATACTGACTCCCTCAAGAGTCGAATTGATTTTTGATCACCACTGTATCAAATCGCGATTTGATGCATCTAATTAAATTGAATCAGATTTTTTAAGCATTTTCGATGCATCGCACCCCCCTAAATTTGTTTGTAAGAAATGTTTCGATAATTTATCTTAATGAATATTGTTAAACTCTATTAAGCTTTCATAAGAGTAATTCATACATTTAATTGATTTAATGACGTCAACTACTAACATAAGTCTAAAGGGACAAATTAATGAACATTTATTTATTAGTATGGCCGCATGGCAGCCGTGGCGCAGCGACGAGTAGAGTGGTCTTGACCTTGACGCAAGGTGTAGTGATGACGTACCAGCTGAATTCACAGAAAAAAGGCAAAGGAAGAAGAAAAAAATTCCTGGTGAGCTAAGTAATGACGAGGTCTCATCAAGAGTAGAGGACCTATATAAAACATATGCTAGAAATTATAGACCATAGAAATTATAGATCATGGAACTAAGTAATAGGTTTAATGCTTTAGACCACATCAATAGCAAGTTTGGATTTTTAAATGGGGAAGAAATCAAGAAAAATGCTGTTACAGGAATTGAGAAGCAAAGTTGTGGAATTAGCTGATTTGTACTTTAGTGATCTAAATAACAAGTGATAGAGCCATCTATACTCTATTCCACATTTACTGTGCAGTATGGAGTGTCCATAAGCAATACAGAGTGTTCAAATGGCAGTTTCAGCAACACCAGCAAATCTGAACTCATAAAATAATTGACCACTCTTCCTTTTCCTCAACCTCTCTCCAGGTTCCAGGAGCTGTTATCACTAAACTGAGGTCAACAGGAAGGTTATGGCATCCCACAAAACTTAACATGTTTAAATCGTTTACAACAAGCAAACAGTTAATTGACACTCCCGCCAAATCTACAAAAGAGCTTCCCATATGACGCAGCGAAGTAAATTCCCCATTTTTCTTTGCATATCTTTCCTTTTGTACATGATTATGTTCTTTCAGAGCATGATTACATTAGTTACCAAACATGGTTGGGATTGGCTAGCGTTAGGAAGGTTCGATGGTTTTAATACAAGAATTCAACAATTAATATGAGAATGAGAATGAGAATGAGAATGAGAATGAGATGAGAATGAGAATGAGAATGAGAATGAATGAGAATGAGAATGAGATTTTTATTTGCCAGTTAATATTCCATACAAATACATTGGCACGTCAAATTAGTCATAAAATATAACATTAATTAAAATCTAGTGGAGTCAGTGTTCTTGACATATAATCTTCTATTGAATATAATGGCTGATTACAAAGAAAGTTATTTATTTTAATCTTGAAATCCTTATCATTAAGTAATCTTATGGCTATTGGTAACTTATTATAAAATTTACTGCTTAAAGTTAATGGTTTTTTATCAGTTTTAGCAAGTCTAACATAAGGAAGATTTATATTACATTTTTGGCGAGTATTATGGCAGTGTATATCTCTCCTATAATCTAACTTATCTAATTGTGGTCTTAAGTATAACAGGCATTGCTTAATAAATAGAGAAAACAGTGTTAATATTTGGTATTCTTTAAAAAATTCAGTGCAATCATGGTGCCTATCTACAGCAGCTATTACCCTAATTGCCTTTTGCTGCAAATTGAAAATTTCTTTTGCATGAGCAGAAGACCCCCAAACAAGCAACCCATAGCTTATATGGCTATGAAAAAGTCCATAGTATGCCTGTATGAGAGAAGGCCGTTCTAGTTCGCCACATAATTGTTTAAGAGCAAATATACTTGAACTCAGTTTATTTTTTAAAACTATAACATGGTCATGCCAGGTCAAAGTAGAATCAAAAGTTAATCCTAAAAATTTTGGATTTCTCTCATCCATTGGCCTACTGTGTACTTCACGAAGGTTAAACAAAACAGTTTTTGTCTTATCATTATTTAGAACAAGATTATTAGAAATTAACCAGTTTTCAGCTAGCTTTAGATTATGCATAGAGTCAACCAAAAGTTGTTCATGATCTGCATGTCTAGTAATGATGGTTGTGTCGTCGGCATATAATACAATATTTGCAGGGATATTAACACTTAAATCATTAACTACTACCAAAAACAACAGAGGCCCAAGCACAGATCCTTGGGGAACTCCACAATACACAGGCTTAATAGATGATGCATCCTCTCCCAAAACTACATACTGTGTTCTGTTTGACAAATAAGATCTAAATAAATCTAACACTTTACCTTTAATGTTATGATATTCTAATTTTTTTAACAAAATTTCATGTGATACTCGATCGAAAGCTTTACTAAGATCACAGAATGTAATTGCAGCAAAATCCTTATTTTCATAACAGTCGAGAATTTCATCAACCAAGGAAGTAATGGCATGTGTCGTTGAAAGCCCTTTACGAAATCCAAACTGTTCTGTACAAAGGAGTTGATTTGATTCTAAGTATTGCATTAACTGTTTACCAATAACTATTTCAAGAACTTTAGACAGAACAGGAACAATGGCAACAGGCCTATAGTTACCTATTTCATCTTTTTTTCCTTTTTTGTAAATAGGATGAACTTTACTTATTTTAATGATATCAGGAAACACACCTTGAGCCATACAGTTGTTAATCAAAATTGTTAATGGGGTTACTAAGTAAGGTATGGTCTCCTTAATGAGAGCATTTGTCATTCCAAAATGATCCGTGCTTTTTTTTGGAGCTAACTGTTTTACTACATCTAAAACATCATTTTCCGTCACATATTTAAAAACTAAATCTCTAACACTATCAGGTACTACTTTTTTCCTTAAATAATGAGTAAAGTTACAACAATTACTTATTCCTACATTTTGACTAGAATTTACATTATCACAGGCAGTATTCACAAAATATTCATTAAATTCATCTGACTTAAAATAATTATCTACTCTACATTTGCTTGACTTATTTTTATGTTTATTTACAATATTCCATAAAGCTTTTGTTTTATTTTTGGCGTTTTCTATGGCATTAGCATTTTCCCTTTTTTTGGCATTTTTAATCTTACATCTATACACATTTTTAAGTTTTCTGTACTCATTTCTATACCAAACAACATTTGTGTCTTTATATAAATGGTAGAGAGAATCCAATCTTTCTTTAAGTTTTTGTAGCTCTGAATTATACCAAGAACATTTGTTGGAGGTCTTCTTTTTCCTTTGACATTTTTTTACATGTTTTACAAAACTAAGGTTAAAATAAAAACACAAAATATTTATAAAACTACTAAATGCTAAGTTAACATCGTTAATGTAAAATACCTCTTTCCAATTTTCTTTTCTTAAATAATACTTGAGTTCTCTTATACCAGCCTCAGTTATTTTTGTGACCGTTTTACCTTTACATACAGGAAAGTAATCCTTCTCTTCCACCCTATAATAAGTAAAAACTTGAGCAAGGTGATCACTAACATGTTTATTAACCACAGAGGCTGTATAATTATTTTCTAATGAGGTGAATATGTTGTCCAAACAATTATTACCTCGCGTAGGCTCATAAATTGTCATATGCAACCCATACATACTAAAAAGGTTTAAAAGGTTTACAGAGTCACTATCATTACTAAGAAAGTTAATGTTAAAGTCGCCACATACAATTGACTGTTTTTTCTGCCGATTGATTTGGCTTAGTAACTTTTCTAAGATGGTAAAAAAATTTTGCACATTTCCATTAGGACTACGATATATGGTTACTAGCAATAAATTCATGTTTATTATTTCAACAGCTGCTATTTCACAGTCTAAATCAACAGATAATTTATTCATATCATCCATTACTTTGATACATGATGGGTCATAGCGAGAAAAAATTGCTGAGCCCCCATGAATTCTAGAAGTTCGGCAATAGCTAGTTACATGATGAAGGTCGCTAATTGAACATATGTTGATTTCATTAACTTTTAACCAGTGTTCAGTTACACAAAGAAAATCTAAATTCATTTCTTTTGCAATCAATTCCAATGTATTGACTTTATTCAGAAGACTTTGACAATTTTGGTGATAAATTGTTACAGTATTTTTTGTGTGAACATTATTATAACTTTTATTACCTGTAAAACTATTGATTTTTTTCTTGTTTGTAGTTCTACCATTTATTAAAACACTATTACATTTGCTGGACTTACTTAAGCTAATTTCATCACAACTAGTAAAATTTATTAAATCTATGGGTGGGTCAGAGGGTCTAGTTGTTGTCGATGAACCGTTGAAGCCGGTGGGGTGGAGTTTCCCGACAGCAACTCTGTTCCTGGAGGAGGTGGTTGACTCGTATCTCCTGGTCTCTGAGGGCATCTTGACATCACTGGTACAGACACACCAGGCTCTTCTGTGTTAGATTTTCTTACTAATGGTTCCGGCAGTGTTTCCTCCAGTGGATGGTTGGGCTCAGGAATATGTACAGCAGCCATGTTAGGAACTTCTGACAATGGATTATGGGTTTGAAGATCGATCTTCTCCATGGGAGCGTAAAAAGACTTTGCTACCCCACAGATTTTTTGGGATAACCATAGTTTACCTTTGTTGTTCAGGTGCAAGCCATGGTGGGTATGAAGGTGCCTCCCTGCTTCATATGCATTTACCATCTTTACATTGGAGTAATTACAGCTCAGTTCACTCAGGATTCTATTTGTTTTCCGAATTTATGTTTCTGAATTTATGTTTCTCCCATTTATGTTTTCCGAATATACGAGAGCTATTCAGAAAGTAAGGAACGTTTCGTTCTGATGCTGCTAGGGGCGCACTGTTCTCGTACATTTTGGTGCGTGCACACTCGGCAACTCATTCAGCGTCCAGCCTTGACAATGGGAACATCCTCGCGCTGCCTGTATTTTTGCAATTTTAACAAATGATGTGCAATGCACTTGAAATCCCGCCAACTGGCTACCGTCAACTGAGAGGTGCGGTCAGTGATACAGGTTTTTTTGGCATAAAACTTAAACAAATAGACATTAATCACCAAGTTTGCTAAGTTTACGGAAACAACGTATTGAAGTAAAGTTCTGAGAAAAAATTGCGCATTCAGTTTTAAAATGGTTAAACTGACGTCCATGAGTTATGACAAAACGAAGGGCGGACGCACGAGCATTGTAACTGATGGAACTGGTCGCTTAATTTGAAGAAAAGGTTCTAAAAACCGCCGATTCACAATGACAGAGTTTTCGCTTTATTCCCACAAGTTTCACGGACTTTGTTGTTTGAAATTGTTGAACACATGAAAGCACTTTTTCATTCATTCATTCACTTACAAAACTTTTAATCACTTTTACTTTGTATTAATGATTTTTACTACTATTCTAATTTTGACTATACTAAAGTCAACATGCAAATCATCAACTCAAAACACCAATCCATCAATAGCGAAGTTACAGAAATAAGGTTTAGCTCCTTCATGAGGATCATGAATACAGTTGACGCAACCAAGATAACAATAAACATAATGATTCCAGCAATAGTAATAGCATGACTATCTCCCATAAAACCTATACTGTTCCGTGAACATCCAGGTATATTGAGTATAGGGTCAAGTTCCAAGCCTAGTTAGCGTCTTGGACTTCGTTGCGGGAGGGACAAGTTTAATTCTAGTAACGTTTGAGGAGTGAACCGCTTTCTCTCAAAAAGTGCTTGAATTACAGTTTTGCAAAGTGCCACTAGCCCAGTGTTCCCAGATTGGCCGTGGTCGAATATCGTACACACAGTACTAAATTATCGTATTTCAGGCAAAATTATCGTACAATTTTAAATAACCATCGTAACTGGCTTGAGTATTGATGTTATTAATAAATACCTAATAGACTTATATATTTTTTTATTATAAATCTTAAAATTGCCATAAACCATATTATTTTTAGTTTTGTACGTTGTAATCATAGTAACTCATATTATGTGAATATTTCTCAACCTCAACACAAACACTACACCTGTATTTTCCTTCCACCATGCAATACACACCAATAATTCACCAATTGGGCGAGATTATGTACGGAAGGTCTATCATATATGGTAACAGAAACTGACTTTCCCGCGATGTAGGAGAAGCAGAAGAAGCAGAAGCATTCAAGCAGAAGTTCAGAAGCACATGTAATGGAAATGTTTTCGTTTTAATTTTATTCATAACAGTTAACTTATAGGTTTCATAAGATTGATTTTTTATGTATTGATTTTTACATCCCATCTCTAATAAATACTGAGTTTTTATTTAAAACAGCAAAAATGTTTCCGAATTACTTTGTATAACCTCCCTAACCAATTTTGTAAAAGAGTACTATTCAACTGCCAAAATTATCGTACAAATAGCATTATCGTACGGTGACGTATCGTACATCGTACGGGAGGCTAAATTATCGTACAAAACGATAATTATCGTACGTCTGAGAACACTAGCCTAAAGAATAACACAGTCTTTCTTTGGTTTACAAAAGAAATCTCACCTTGCCATTGAAGGGTTTCAGTTTGTGATTGAGGGTGACAACTCGGAAGTTGACTTGTTGTCCAGGCTTGTAGAGAGGCTTGTCAGTAGATACAAGCACTACAAGAGGATCAGCTTGTAGTTGAACAGTCACTTCACTGTTAGAGGTTAGATCAGGATCAGCTGACTGTAGATGTACCACGAGTCTGCCTTGCTGTTCTGTTGTTACAGGTACCACTAGCTCAATACATCCCACTGTGAAAGGATGGCAAAAAGTTGTTACTTATGGCAAAAATCACTTGAATGAATTGTTGGTAAATCAACATTTCAACACTCACTCAACACAAAGAAATCATAAAATTTTGGACCGGATAGGGAAAATACAGATTTATGAGAATTGCCCTATTTGTAATTTGTTTACACTACTTTTTAAGGGAGCAGGCCAAGTACTGGCTTTGTTACCTTCAAACGTTTGATAGGATCTATTTGATATCCTTCTCAAAACCAGTCTAAATTATATTAAGATTGTTTTGAATCATAATTTATTGTTTATTGTTGTGTTGTTATGATTTAATTGTTTTTAAGGTGAGCTGATACAGTTCTAGAATGAACTGTACTGATAAAGCACAACTGTTGTTTTGCATTAGTGGCGGCAACAGGACTTAAACCCTCGACATTCCTGGATTCATAATCCGTTGCACTACTAGGCCCCAACTCACAGAGAAGTTCCGAAATCCTTTAATGGGAACTCCTCATGTACCTACTTAAACTACCAGAAATATGTTTCAAGGTAAAAAATTGATATTCACCAGAATTAATGGTCCAAGAAGTTTTAGACAGGATTTGCCCACTGAATGTTCCAATCAGAGAAAGCGAGACTTGAGCTGGACTAGATGTGTTGTGAAGGGATACGCAAACATTCTCAACTGAGCCAGAGAGAAATGTACTGGGTGCTGTGAGCAAGAAGCCCCTAAAGAAAAACAAAAAATCATATATACGAGTGAAAATTTTCAAATGTACGTTTTTATGTCCCTGGCCTTTTACTTCGTAGATACTGAATATTTAGTTTATCATTATTTGTTTTAGTATTTTTTGGGACGGGGGCAACATGGTTGGTGTGGAACACACAATTATTTGGCTTTAAATAGGTTCTAGGTATTTTTTTGTATTTTTAAAGTCTCGAAACTCACGACCGTCACGTGTCCCTACGGTACATTTTGCAACTTTCATGCTGTTTTTAGAATATTTATTCATGCCAAATTCATAATGTCATATTTTTATTACATCAATAGTTATTAAACTTACAAAAAAGGAGCATATGATAATTTTGTTTTCATTGTGAACTGACTACCATGACTAAATAGGCCTGTCTCTTGATTTGACGTCACGACCATTAGGGAAAAAATTGCAACTTTAGAGCACGACATATCATTGTAAATTGAACAGTTTAGTTCAATTGAAACACATATTTTTATTATAACTATCAGTATAATTGAAAGATTGTTTAGAAAGATTTAGATTATTCCAGACAATTCACGACCGTACTGCTTGACCCTGACCATCACGTTTATGATTTTTATCATAAAAATTTCAAAAATTAAAATATCATCATATTTCAATGTTTTATACACAAAAGAAGCACACCTCTATAAAGACATCACGATTTTTCGGGTCTCAGGTAAGTTTTTTCGGAGTTATACAAACTTAAAAGATTTTATTGGCTTTTTTCAATTTCTGAGTTTTTTTTATTTTTTTCTAGAAAGACCAAATATACCAAAAACTTAGTGAGCTGTTTATTGTATAATGGCCCTAAAAGTAAATTAATTTATAGCAAAACATAGTTATAAAAATAATATTAACTATTTTTAATATTCAGTTTTATATCCGTGATGGTCGTGACAAAATTTTGTGTTTTTCCATCTAAGATGCTCTATAAATAAAAAATTACCAAAGATATTGCATTACCATGGACATTTTATGAAACTTAAAATGTTAATAAAATAAAAATAATAATAAAAGTTTCAAAAAAACGGAACAACAATTTTTAAATGCGCTTTTCCTGAAAACGTACGTTTCAAAATTTTCACTCATACAAGATTTTTTGAAAAAGCCAAACTAATTTTACTCTTAAAAATATGTTTGCCTGTATAAATAAACCATTTTCATTTCATTTCATTTCGAAAAAGACCAAGAAACATCCTTTTCTATACTAGACTCTATCCGGGAAACGTATTATACACTACTTCAGGATAGGGCTACAAGGTTGCAGCATTAAGTTGGATCAAATCTATTAGCGATTAGTGAGATTTGCACCCAGCACTTTGAGAACAGAAGCCATTTTCTACTACTTGGACCAACTTGCACGCCTTTGGAGGTTCTTTAGGAAGATCCTATAAGGATCCACTGATTTTCAAATTTAAGTGATTTATTCATCATAAAATATGCTACCAATCAAAACAATAATAAAGTTTAAAAAGATAAAAAATTCTGTGACCATAATACTTTGCTTTGATTTTTTTTTGGATAAATTTCCAAATGATATATTTTTCAACTGGCTTTGTTTAATGAAAGGTTCTAGGCTAGGATTTTGGTTTGTAGAATAAAGGGATGTCAGCAAGCTTACCTCAGAAAAAGTACAGGCGAAAATACAAAAAATACACAATATTTGAAGTAGACAATACATCAAAGACAGTTTAAGAATAAAATAAATTACTTCAAATGAGCCACCGACAGGTGGTTTTACGTTTGGTGCCCCAATCGTGGGGCCCTGTGAGGATAGATGCACCTTTTGTAGCCTAGCTACAATCCTAAGGCCCGCGCTGCTTTAAACTACTCACCCTGGAACAACCTACATAATGATTTTTACCGGAATACTATTCACGCTCAATTTTCTATTTACTTAGAAATAAACCCTTAAACCAAATTTGCCAATAGTAGAGTTAAATCTCCCATAACCTTTTTTTAAAGTATTAGATACCTTTAGATGACGTGTTATTTGACATAGTGTTCTCTGATGCACTTAAAACATTTCAAATTGATTAATTTTACCTATCCATAACTTCATTTCCTCCTTTAGGAAAACTATTTACATACTAGTCAGACAAAAACTCAAATTTTAGTTGCACAAATCTGGTACATGTACAATACTGCTTACAGCTTAAAGTGAAAACCCCTATAAAAGCATGAAAAGTAGAAATTCATTTAGCTTAATATGTCAGAAGAATTTTAGGTTTGAACAACTTGATATTTCATAATACAAGGAAATTATTAGAAGTGAAAACCTTTCAATACTCACTTGTTATGCTCAGCAAATGAATAACTCACTGGGAAAAATACAAATAACAAAATAATTATCATTTTTGCCTGTAAACTACAACCCAAATTACAGTATTAGGTCATTGCTACAAGCTATGATGCGACTTATTGGAACAATTGACTAACTGATTACCATTGACCTTTGACATTATTCCTAAAACAATGTTATCTCATTCACCACGATCAAAGAGTATTGAGTTTCCTAAATCATAAATTTAAGTAAGTAAGTAAGTAAATTTAAGTGCAGAAAGGAAATAATTTATAAGAAAACATAAATTTAACATAACTTTATTATTATGTTACCACATTTTACTTAAAAACTAAAGTTTGCTAAGCTTTTGTAATGATTTGATGCATTTAGTTTGGGGCCATTAGAGCACAAAACCACAGTAAAAATTAAGAACAGTAATGAAATCTGTTTAAATTAGCTAAAATTTTTAAATAACTACAAAACACAAAATCAAGAGGTTTTAAAACTTTTTCTAGCAAACTCATTAAGAACTAAACAGAAGATAATTTGAAACAATTAAATTGGAAAACATTACAGGTAAAATAATATTACAGTTCAGGTAATTCTTGGAAATAAGAATCCTTTTTTGTCTTCTAATTCCAAGTTATTAGTCATCAAGAATGATAACCTCACTAACCTGAAATAACAAAAACACCATCACACAAAGAGCAAAAATTTAATGAAATTAAAGAAAGAATTGTTTTGGATGGTACTAAAATGGATTTTTTCTCATCATTACAAAAGAGTAGAACTCACACTTGGTTTAGTATAATATCTAATAACGGAAGAAAAATTATTTACTTAATATTAGTCATTAGACTATTCACTCACGTTAGACAATTATTTTAACTACTCAATTACAGTAGCCTACTGAGAATGGTATTGCCATTCCGACATAACAACATTACAAATATGAAAAATCAAGCAGACAATTTTAAATATAAAATTAAATTAACAATAGAGAAAGAAATCAAAGACATGATTTAAGATTTTTAATCTAATTCTAGGATTCTTCTCGGTATTAAAGGGCTAGTTTTCTACTGGGCTATCCAGAAAATAGATTGCATTTTCATTTCTGTCCTCAAGGGGTGGGGTTAGCATTGCCATTTTGGTGTCAGATCGTTACGCAGCTTAGTCAGCATCTATATCAATATCAATTAATATAAATTATTTAAGATGGGGACGCCACTATGTGCGTATTTTAACCCAAATATGAGTGAAGGATGAGTGTTGGATGAGTGGCGCGATCTTGTAGTCTTGTTAGTGACTGAGGCCGACATGTTCCTTAGACACAGCTGTTAATTAATAGCCCATACAGCTAATGGCAACTAAGGGACCTACAGTTTATAGTGGAATCCGAACCACATGTTTCCTTGTAATTTACGAATTGGTCTAATTATCAGGATAGTACTGCGGATAGTCGTAGTACTCACTAGTGCGGACGTTAATCCGCACCAGGGAGCATCGCATCCACAGTGCATCCCTATAAATATCCACAATTCGTGACCTCCTAGTAGTTGGATTACAAAACGACGCCACCCGTCTCAGTCAATTGTGCTAGCTAGAACTACTACCTAGAACTACTGCCGATAGATAACGGAAGCTTAGTAACATTATCACTGAAGGTAGAGTGGGTCATAAAATTAAGTAATGGCCGAACTAACGTTCACGATGAAGAGCGAAGTGGAAGACCTAGCATAGTGACTGCCGAACTTGTCAAAAACCTTAATGCTGAAGTCAGTAAAAGCCGAAAATTCACAACAATTACAGAACTCTACGAGTTTTCCACAAATTTCACGAAGTTTGTTGCACGAGATCATCACCGAAAAGCTTGGTCACCACAAGTTTTGTGCAAGATGGATTCCAAAAATCTTGGCAGACATTCACAAAAATCAGCAAACGGCTGTAGCAATAACATTTCTGGACGCTTACGATAAAGATTGTGACTCATTACTTTATCACATCATTACTGGTGACAAAACACTGGATAAACATGTGAACTGCGAGACAAAATTGCGGTCAATGGAGTGGGGGTACACAGATTCCCCCCAAAAACCAAAGAAATGCATGCAAACGTTGTCGGCATTCGACAAGGAAGGTGATGATGACTGTTTTTTGGGACAGGAAAGATGTAATTTTTGTAGACTCCCTGGAAAGAGGCACTACTATGAACTCTCAAAGGTATTGCCAAACCCTTCAAAACCTCAGAAGAGCGATACAAAACCAGCACAGGGGAGAGTTAAGCTCAAAGATTCTGCTGATTCACGACAACGTGTGAATTGTTGCAAATGTGCCTCAAAATGGCATTTGTGAAGTCCTTGAATCTTTTAAGTAGGAGTTGCTTCCTCATCTGCCATACAGTCCCGACATGGCACCGAGCAGCCTCCACTTGTTCCCAGCAATGAAGGGGCTGACTATGCAGCATTTTGATTACGACGCACAGCTGCAAGAAGAGGTTTAACCAAGTGGTTGAAGGGTCAGGCGGCCGAATTTTACGACAAAATAAATTCCTAAGCTTGTCCATTGCTAAGTGCCTTAATTTGAAAGAAAATAAGTGTTCAAGTGTACATAAAAACAATTTTTTCCAAAACTTTGTTTATTCTTAATTCCAAAATGTTAACTAATTTCTGGATAGCCCTCTTATTTTGCTCTTTTTCTTACCATTTTGCCAAATTCAGAACAAAGAACAAAAACTACAAACTATTAGATTTGATCAAACCAAAAATGTATACATATCTTCTAATTTAGTTTTGTATTACTTACATTTTTTTTATCATAATTTGTGAACAATCTGACGTTCTCTTTTATTTTCTTCGGTTTAGCAGCGTAAGTATATTTATATCTCAAAGGAGTAAGAAGAGTTTGAGATTCCTGATTAGAAGAATCAGTCATTGAAGAACTAGTGCTAGGGCCGGGCTTACAGGCTATGGATGGACCAGATTTTTTGCGCCTGAAGGCACGGGGTTTTGCACTTTTTGTCACAGTGCTTTTACTGGAGTGCCAAGGGATATTGATGGAGTGAAAAGAATCATAAGTAGAAGAATTGGAGGCTGTTCTTGGCACTTCAAATACATCTTCACTTTTTATGATGCTTTCCTTCGTTTGTGGCAAATTTTCTTTAAATTCTCCAATTGTACTGATGCCTTTTCCAGATTTAGTTTTAACACGAGAACCTAAAAACAAAGTAAAGACAAAATTCATATTTAGTCAATGATTTAAAATTACTAAATACATTTCCTCCAGTATAATTGACAACCTTTCTCGGAATATATTGAGGAGGTGGTAAGAGGTATTTAATCTAGGCCTACACCTTTTACAGGTGTGTTATGAGTGTTGATTGTCACATCATTTTGCAGCAAGGTAGCTATACTGCTAACCCAATGGCGCTTAGAAAAGCTGGCTATTCATCAAATCTTACTTGTCAGTGCTAGTGTCACAATCAGTCTTTAGAGGCACTCGTCCCCGCCTGACGACGGTGACATGGTGGCTGAGTTGACAAAATTTGTTGAACTGACGAGTGTAGCTCTAAGATCTTTTTGAGGCCGAAGGAGACACAGATGTTTATTAAATTTTGGTTTTACATGGAAATGTGTTGAAATACTTAGAAGACATCAAACAAAATAGCCTAAACAAATTATATTGTCAAAGAGTTGAAAAATAAAGTGTCGACAAAGAGTTAAAGAAATAGTTATTTGTGGAACTAGTGTGCAAAGTGGCACTTTGCTGCACATGAGAGAAATGCTTACGTATGAGCCGCAGGCGAATGTGGAAAGTTTCTCGAGTGCAGCAAAGGCACTTTGCATTTGCGTTACACATATAAAGCATATAAAAAATTAGTCTCTCAAACACTATACAACTCGTTTATTAGGTGAGGTTAAATCCAAGCGTTGAACGAAATGGAGAAACGCTGCACCAGCTAATTCAAATCAAATCAAATCAAAATAGCATTTATTCCGCCAAAATATTTACAAATTACATCATGTTAGTTCCATACAGAAATGTTTACAATATTGTTTGGTATTTTAATAATATAAAATTTAATATAAACACTAAAATATTTGGATTTTTCTCAGCATTGAATCAGCAGCTTTCTGATTACCTACCGGTAGCACTTTATCCCCTAGCTACCCAGCTACTTTAAAAATATAAACAGGTAATTTCAAATTTAATACTCACTTATACTTTTATTTGCCATATGCATTTCCCTGGCATGTTTAACATAAGACTCCACAGACAGCTGTAGATAGTTAAACAACACTTGGTTGTCAAGAAGATCCTGAAAAATGGTTTGCATTAGGCTACTAATTTGACTATAACACAAAATGTTTTATACAAATTTATGATATTTTGGTTACCTATTTATTTTATTCAGTCTTAAAATTTATATATGAAAACAATAACTAAGAATATAGTAGCCAAAATGAATACATGGGTACAAAATGAATGTTTGTCTATAAGTATGTACCTAAAATGTTATGTTTATAAACTGGTTGGATTTAAAATCTATATTTAGTTTTAAATAGTTTTATCCCAACAGTATTTAGTTCAGTACTCATAATATTAAGTTGGATCTGTTGGATAATTGTCTTTGTTGAGCACGACTGTATGCTGTTACGCGGACAGTATACTGTTACTCGAAGTAGTCACTATCGTAGCACTGGAGGAACTGCACATGTGCGTGTGGGCGTGGAGAGACGTTGCGATGTAGCAACAGCGCCTGTTGCTATGGCAACCGCGTCAGGCTCTCCTAATAGTCAACCAGACAGTTCTCCGTCTTACTCCAACATCAGATTTCCCCACCACACCGATACAGAAGTTGTATCTATTCAAGTATAGTAAAGAATGTTATATGTTAACAATTTGTCAAATCAAACAGTGTGCAGAGTTGTCCAGGAAGTAAACATTTAGGTCTAGAGCTACAAAGGATGGGACTAGAACTGTCAAGGTCAAGAGTGTTTAAATACAATACACACCCTACTCAATAGGCTACACAGCCGCTTTATACTGTCACATGATAAACAGTATGCTCCAATAGAAAAGCCTGTTATTTGTTATTGGTTAAATGGTTTTGGATGCAAAAAAATCATAAACAAGCAAATTTCATCACAAGGAATTATTTGTAGCTCAAAGAAGGGTCTATCCATTACAAGTGATCCGATGGGGTTGCTTGAAAATTTTTAAGTAAATAATTTTCCCCCTAGAGTCCTAATTCCATTCTGAGCCGAAGGTGATTTAAAAACTTTTTGTTATTTTGACAGGGGCTATTCTTGTTTTGCAAAACTCACTAATTTTTTAGTATGTAAGAGTTTCCGTTAACTTGTATAGGCCTAGGCTCTAACTCGGACACCATGAACTCTTGAGAAATTGAAACAATATCCCCGCCGCAGCGAACCTGCAGACTAAGCAAATTTATATTTTCCTGATTTGATTTTCGCTTAAGGGACAGCCAATACAGTATTCTCAATTCTGTTTTATTAATATTTAGGAACACATATCTCAAAAACCATAAGAGATATCTTCACATTCAACTTTTTTTATAATTGGTTGATCTCTATGTATTCTATGATATAAGCAGAAAGTTTCAAGAAATTTGAGTCTTTTGAATTTTTACTGAATTATTAATTTATTGAAAAAATATTCCAGTTAAAAAACTAATTGAATTAATATAAAATATGTTTTTTATCTATCGCAACAAAACCCTCTGTTTATCTTGTACATCTGAAGGAGTGAAACAAAACAAAAAACAAATTATGGAGATATCTCTTTTAGTTTTTGAGATAGCCTAGGTGTTCCTAAAGTAAAAAATATTAGTTTTCGGAAAACACAACAAAACATCTGATTTAGGCCTACGGTAATAAAATAAGTAAGTGGGGAAATTACAAAATTACTTCTAATAGTCCAGCTGCATAAGATGGGTTGTCTGAGTTCTTTTCCTTATCAAATAGTTCCTCAAGTCTAAATTTGGTAAATTTTCTATTTTTTCAAACAAAAAAATCAAAATTTTTTCAGCCTAAATTTTTTGTTACCATGAAAACGTCAAAACTTAGCAACAAAGCGTTATTAAAACTTCAATGAAATTTTTTCTAGCCATCCGATTTTTGGATTTAAATTTTTGTCGTCTGACCCCCCTTAAATTTATTTAAATGACGTTAGTTTTAATGAGTAGGGTACATAGGTTTGCTGCTACAGGGAAGGTAATAAAGTTTGTTTTTGGTTGCATATTAATAGCTTATTATAAAATAAATAAATTTGCCAAGTTTGATCAAAATATATCCATAAACAAGCAAACTACAACAGTTTATTTATTTTCCATAAGATGTGAACTGCGTTCAAGGGTGTCGATGATGGCGTTCCCTTGATTTAGGGGATATGATGTTCACGATTTCATCTGTGATTGAGGTGACGATGACGATGATGATGATGTACTTTTGATGCAAGGGTAATGTTCACGATTTCATCACCCCTATCACGGGGAATTTCCAACACAGGGGTGGGGGCAGATAGAGTAATTTGTCCTAGGGCCGCAAGAACCCTAAATTTGGCACTGCTTATACCTAAGTCCAAGACACTAGGCTATAGCAAAAGACCATTAAAAAGTGTTTTTAACACATAACACATTCATGCAGAAAACATATTTTATTTCTACTAAAATATCTAAGATAATATAGCCTAACAGAAGAAGCCTAACTTACCAGTATTTTAGTAGTAGGTATCATATAAGTTCCTGGGAACTTCAATTTGTAATTCAATTTCATTTCACAAGAATTAGCATCAAAGAATACACAATCTGAAGCATTGAGTTCTTGCTCATCTAAAACATCATTTTTTGATGCCATCACCGTTATATGGTTTAATCTTGAATACTGTTAGCTGAAACTAGACAATATCAATTTGTAGGTTTTAAAACAAAAAATGGATATTCCTAAGTTGAGGGAACGGCCTATCTCGCCAATGCTAAATTTGCCATCTTTAGGTAGCCTAGGCCTACACTTTTCTTCAAAAGGTGTAAAGCTTTCAAAATGTAGGCTATAAATATCAACCCTTTATGTGTAAACAGATCCAATTTCAGAATTATTAATGAAGTAATGTATTACATTTGAAAAAATCTTTTGTAAGACACAAACAAATTTACAAATTTCACAAGACATAAATATTTTCCTTCAAAATTAGCAATGTGACAGTAATAAAAATGGGTCTAAATGTTAAATTCAAATGAATAATACTCGAATCAATGAGCTAGTGTCACCTGTCTGCCACGTTATCTTATGGGACGTCTGGCGCTTCACTACTTGTGACGTTGCCAATTCTACTAGGCCACGGCCTGGAGTTAAAGGTGGCCGTTAGAAAACTAACTGAATAAATAATTGATAAGATGTGTAATAAATTAAATATAAAACCTCCTTGATATGAAACATTCTGATACGGATTAAAAAATGTATTTTTATTTTTTCAAACTATTTACAAATACTGATATTTGATAATGATGTATAACTTTATCATCAAACCATGACAAATAGCCTACTTAACAAGCCCTTTCATGGAACATGGCCCATATTTATGACGAATCGGTTTGAATATTGTATTGATGATCCAAAAAGTAACTCTTGAGTGGGAGGGGGGAGGACTTTTCATTATGTTGTATCGGTGGTCTAAAAATAACTCATGACATGGGGCCCAAAAAATAAGTTTGCACGGGGCCCGGAAAAATCTGTTACGCCACTGATTGAGCCTTCTTTCTTCTTCTAGCCTACTTCATGATACTTTCAGATGCTTTGTCACTTTTCCACAAAATTAACTTTTTCAAATGTATACTACCTCCACTTTTGAAGTTACGCAGACTGAAAACTAGCTTTCGGGATGTTTTGTTTGATTTTTTCAAAGGGCTTACAATATCATATATGAATACCTATTATATCATTTTAAAAGAAATTAAAAAGGGAATAACAATCAGCAAAAAAACAAAATTTGTGTAAATAAAAGAAATTTGATCTGGCGCCCCTTAATATTTTACTTTTTGGTTTTGTTTTAGCCAACACCTTGTGGAGTTTTGCTAAACAGAATCTACAAGTCTGGATCATGGCCCCCACATTTAATTGTGGGCCCTGTTACCAGAATCTGGCTCGGGCCCCCTACCAACCAGGGGGTCGGGGGGGGGTATGGAATACCCCCCAGCGTAGAGGGGTGGTCCGGGGGTTTTCCCCCGGGAAAATTTTGAAAATGTCATGTATTTTAGTGAGTTTTTAAGGCAATCTAGGTATTAAATTTGTGAGTGGTAAATGGCACTTTTACAGCCTTTTTTAAGGAAGAAAAGAGTTCTTCAATGAGTTTTATAAGCTTAAAATTACAGGAATTCAGCAATTAAAACTATTACAGTATATCAATACACAAAAGCTCCATGCCTATTAATATTTTGTCCTTTTTATTTCCCTGTAAAAGGGTTTGGCTATCTTAACTGCTATAATTGTACTTTGTAATATGGAGTAGGAAAAAAACTTACGTAAATCGAGTTTAACAGCTTACACCAATGAAATCATATTTTATTCAGTGACAATTTTCATCAAGAATTTTAACAATACTACATTTTTTGGGAGTGAATACCTGAGCTGCCGAACTTGCGCGAGTAGTCACGGAGAAAAACGAATGTGCACGAGTAATGCCGAGAATGACCGATGCTGTCGATGCCGATGCTATCCAATCCATGCTTTAGTACAGTATTATACCGAGCGAATTGGGAAGAAAACTTAGGTCAAAATTATTAGGCCTACAATCTTTCATATTTTTAAAACTCCAAAAGTAAAGAATGTTTAAGTTTGTGTAAAATAACCTAGATTGCAATTATTAATTGAAATATTCCATACATAAAAGTGCAACCGGAACCAAATTTTGATATAACGGGACAAATAAGCGTCCCGAGAGGATTTGTCGGGATGGACCAGTCCCCCTAAAACGGGACTTCTGGTCACCTTAGCTATGGTACATAGTACATGTCAATTTTTCAATGCTTTACAAATTTTATTTTAACTTATAACTATAATGATTCATTCTTGAAACTATCAGTTCAATTATAAAACCAAACTTTGTTTATTATGGGGGGAATGAGGTAGGAGTGGCTAGGCGTCTGGCGGGAGGAAAGGGGTAGAGGGAGTTTGTGGAGCCGGCCACTATGGGGGCCCGAGCTGGCTGTTCTGCTGTTGTATAGTACATACGCACCTACGCACCTATAGTATTTAAATACTAGTATATACTAGTACAATACTAGTATACAATACTAGTATATAAACTTCCTTAGAATCAAGAATTAATATATTTTTAATTATTTAACTTTGTTTTTTGTAATGTATATATATATATATATTATTTTTTATCTTCAATTTATGATCTGCTGTAAAGTGATCTTCAATGGGGAAAAAAGAAAAAAAATGGGTAGGACCGGGCCCCCTGAGGGCCCGGGCCCTGTGACCAGAGTTGCACCAGCACCACCCTTGTGGGGGCCATGGTCTGGATATCCTAACAATGAAAATTAAGTACTGTGGTAGCCTAGATAGGTGGCACAATAAGGTTAAGTTAATGCTTGGGATTTATTTCCCCTTTTTAAGGAAGAAACTTTTCTTCCCTTAGTGCTTATCTGGGATTTGTTGTTAAGAAGCATTTAATAAGAGAATCACTAAATCTCCACCCCTGACAGGCCCACTTTTTAAAAACGGGCAGACTTAGCATATGCCCAGGGGCGCCGGTGGTTGAGGAGCGTCTGACAGGTGCCCCATATCCACCACCCACCTTCACTAGGAAAAAAGGGGGCGCTGCTTTTGGGTTTGCCCAGGGCTCCACTGACCCTTAACGCGGCCCTGCCCCCTGAATCACCCTGCTGACCATTATAGGTAGGCCTCTAGATTCAAGTGAAAACCACATGTAAGGTAGGTGCCCTATGGGGTTATACAACTAATAATTAACATTAAATAATTTATAAATAACACCTTTTTAAAATACCACGTTTTTAAAAGCACTACTGTATAAAGTAGAAAATAATTCATAAATATGTGAAGAGAATAAATACTTGTAAGATTTAAAACAAAATACGTAGGGCACATAAAATAGCCAATTTATGAAAACCTCCTCTTTATTACTACCGTACCTACCTATTATTGCATGCGTCCAACGTTTTTGTTTTTAATTCTTACAAGTAGGCCTATTTATTCTCTTCGCATATTTATGAACTTTTTTCTACTTTGTAGTGCGTTTAAAACGTGGTATTTTAAAAATGTGTTTTATTTATAAATTAGGCCTATTTCTGTTTTTTAGTCTTTGATGTTTGAAGTACGGTAACTTAGCCGTGCTAAGTCTATTTATAGTTAATACATAACCAAAACCTTTGTATCCGTAATCAGATGTTTCATATTTACTTTGAAATGTTTTGTTTTTGTTTATATTTTTAGAATCTCTCTGGAGCAGAACCTGGCACCTCTTAACCTCTGCTCGCGACACGCTTTTGACAGACTTCTGCCATGGCAGTGCTACCTCCAGTTATAATTTTAGCTCAGTGAAGTACCTACTTATTTACAGCTGACTTCAATTGATACAATTGGCTATTTATATTCTTCCAAAATGTAAACATTGAAAATTTGGAAGCCCATGAGGCGTAGCCCAAGGAAAATCTGGAAATAAAATGATTTAATATTTCATTGTCATCCAGCTTTGTTTCAAGTTTCAAGTCTCTAGCGCATCTGGAAGTTTGTTTAAAATTAATTGCAAAATTTGTACCGAACAGACAAGAAAGCGAGCTTATAGAAACGTTTTAAAATGATCATTAATTAATATAACTTATGCCCTTATAGGTAGGCCAAATCGCCACTAACTGGACTAAACCATCTTGCAAGAACCTCCTCTTAAAAACATTGGCTAAAATCCCAAGTCCACTATTGCAAACAAGCTACCTACCAGCTGAGGAGAGCTAAATGCTCGTACAACACAATCTGGAGCAATGTCTTTTGATTATGTTCATTGGCAGAAACTTAAATCTCTAGTCAAACAGAAGGAGAAGATGGAATGCAGATTTCAGTCATAAAATGTAGGCCTACGACGGTGGCGCTCAATCTCAGACAATACGTCGTAATAATGGTGAATGAGTCATTCATTACCTGGTTGGTTAGCTCAACTCTACAACTCAGATGGGGACACCACTATGGCATATTTTAACCCAAATATGAGTGGAAGACGAGTTCGATGTTATGTGGTAGCTTCAAAATAGATTAAGTTACTGAGTATAAGCCGATAAGATAAATTATTTCTTCAGCCAGGTCTATTTTTATCAAAAGCCAAATGATCAAGGCCTTTTAACTTACACCAGAGTGTGTTCTCGAACGTGAAGATAATCAGTGGAGCTGGTGGTAGAGCCTACAGTAGGGTGAACCCAAATAAGTTTTAGGTTAAGTTTAATAGGTTTCCTACTCAAAGATTACGCCTACTATTACAATTAAAATAGCTTAGGCTATATAAAGGCTGCACTTAATTTATTGTATTTCCTATTTGTTCTAACTGGCCGAACTAGGTAGGTACTTGAAAAGCGGCTGTCCAATTTCCAAATAAGACATAAGACATTTATTCATCATTTTTTACATATGAAATGCATAGATAAGTCAAAATGTTGGTAAATACATCTCGTATTCAGTCTTGAGTAAATAAATGTATAAATATATAAATAACAAGGAATTCAGTTAATACAGTCAATACCTATAATACAAGAGTTAAAATTGAAATTGAGCGACGAGCAAATAAATACAAAAGTTACAAACCATGGCAAGAGATTAAAAATTTGACAGTAATAAATTAAAAAATCATGCAACTTATATCTAAATCACAGTTACATCCTATTT